GGCATACCACTGCGCGCCCTGGCCGGTGAAGACCATGCCGATTCGTGGGCTCTCAGAAGCTCGACGGGTTGGCTTGAAACGAGGCGATTCAAGGGCTTGGATCGCAGAGTCGAAGGTCCCGTTATCAAGACGGACCTGGTGCGCTGCAACCCACTGGAAGAGGGTCCGACGCTCGCACAAGGTGTAGCTTAGATCCTGCAGTAGCTGCTCAGAGGCTTTGTAGTCAAGCGACTTGTGCTTTTCCAGATAGTTCTTGAGGTCGGAAACCATTTGCTGGCAGCCTCGTTCGTCGCGCGCACTGAGGATGAGCACTTTGGCGTCCGAGGCATTGTCCGAGGCATCCCCATTGTCTTTAGAGCCGTGGCCATTGACGAGTTCAAAATCCAGACCTGAAGTCAAGGTCCAGGGGTCGGCGTTCTCCAAAATGACATGAGCATTGGCACCGCCGTAGCCAAAATTGTTGATTGACATGCGACGAGGCCCATCGATCAGACTGTCAGGCCACTGCTCTATCGTCCTCACCACCTTGAGTCGCCACTCGTCCAGCTTGAGCTTGGGGTTGGGCGTTTCATAATTGACAGTAGGCGGAATCAACCCCTTCTCCAGGCACAAGACACCTTTGATCATGGCAGCAAGACCCGAAACGGCCTCAGTATGGCCCACGTTGGTCTTTACGGAGCCAATACGCAGATAGTGGTCCTTGTCGTCCCGGCCTTGACCTTCGCTGAAGATAGTGGCCATGGCTTGCGCTTCAATTGGGTCACCAGTGGGCGTCCCTGTGCCATGAGCCTCGAAATATTGGGTGCCGCGAGGGTCAAGGCCAGCACGGCTGTAGCATTCCCGCATGAGATCTACCTGCGCTGCACCGGATGGCGTTGTAATGGTGTCCGTCTTGCCATCCTGGTTCAATGCTGTCTCACGGATCACTGCACGAATGGGGTCATTGGCAGCCAGCGCATCCGACAGTCGCTTGATGATGATGGTAGCCACGCCCTCTCCGCGGCCATACCCATTGGCACGGGCATCAAACGAGTATGACCTCCCGTCAGGCGACAGCATCCCCAGCGACCCGATGGCCTTGAATGTGTCCGGATTTAACATCACGTTGGCGCCAGTCACCATGGACATGTTGGCCTCACGGTTGCGCAAGGTCTGGACCGCTTGGTGGAGAGCCACTAATGTCGTCGAACAGCCGGTTTCTAAAGTCATGCTGGCGCCTCGGAAGTCAAAAAAATGCGAGATGCGGTTGGATGACATGGGGCTCCATGTGCCGACTACGTTGAACCGTGGCAGTCTATCTTCGTCTCGGATGATTCCCTCCTGGTAGTCGTGGGCGAAGACGCCAGCGAAGACGGATGTCTGGGACCCCATTACCTGGGACAGGGGCAGGCCGGCTGCCAATTAGTTAGTTGATGTCAATATGACTCGAAAGCACGGAGAGCACACCGTTTTCAAGCGCTTCATAAGCGGATTCGAGCTGCAGCCGGAATTGAGGGTCGACCACCTGGGCCATCTCTGCCGAGTAGTTGAAGAAGGCTGCGTCAAAGGTTGCTACATCCTCGTCCAGAAAGTGGCCCCCTCTGACGTGTGTCTGGACTTGTCAGTAAAAGCCTTTAGGTTGGTCATGCAGAGAGGAGCATTACCGTGCTGGTTCTTTCATGGTTTGCATGATAGACTCCTTTGAGGCTATACCGATCCTCTGGAATCTCACTCCAGCCGGTCTTTCCTGATGCCATAAGGTCCCAGAGCATGTCTGGATTGCTAGCACCGCCGGAAAACTTGCAGCTCATGCCGATGATGGCAATCGGCTCACTAGCCCACTCGCTGTCGGTGTCCATTTCGATATAGAAGTAAAGTGGATGGTCGTCAGGACTTGAATATTATTTATTTTACAAAGAGGGTAGATAGGTAGCAGTGAGCAGCGAAAGTATGGCAAAGTATTTCGAAAGTAAAAGTATCCTGTTAAGATGGAGATGTCTATATACATATATATATACGCCTTTACCAGCCCGTATGAATCAATTGATTCACCGAAGCTTATCACAATCATCAGCTACACTCTTACAGTAATAATTGTGCGGGCAATCCATAATCTCTAATTCCTAACCCTAAGGACGTGCTTGGGGGCTGTGTCGGGGCTCAAAATAGTTACAGGCCATCAACGCTACATTCTTTGTCCGACACGCGACAAACTTCAAGCGACATCTCACGTCGGGCTGAGCCACGGAAATAAGATCTTGATTATGCTGTTGTATACTCTGTCTATATATTAAAGGGTGGATGTGTCTTGTGGCATCGACATCAGCCCACCAACTTCCCTTCAATCTCGACGCCAATCACTCCTACAGACAATCGTCATAGATAATCATCTCTACAAACAACATGGGAAACGGAACTCCCCTCCCTGCCAAACTGGCTGGCCCCCCTCTCAGCGATCGCGAGGCCATCGCTGACGCGTGCTACCGCGCTTTCGCCTCCATCGACCATGCCAGCGAGGAGCTTCTTGAGTCCAGCGCGACGCCCGACGTCTACACCGACATCGCCTTCAAAGCGTGCGACGGCTACGAAGAGCTCAAGAACAAAGTGTGGATTAATGTTGCCCAGCGTGTTGACACCGTCCACTATCTCTCCAACGTCCGTGTCAGCGTCGACACCGAAACCACTGCCCGGGTCACCTTCAACGCTCAGGCAGTGCACTGCATCGTGGGCAAGGGCTACGAGTCAGACTCGACCAATTTCACCACCGGCGCATTCTACGCCTGCGATGCTGTCAAGGTGGACGACCTTTGGAAGCTGAAGACGATGAAGTCAACTCACATTTGGGCTACTGGCGATCGTTCCATCATGAAGCCCCCGAGCAGTGAATAGATAGGATTAGATAGTCATTATGGTACTCGACAATGTCAAAGTGTTAACTTGCTTTTACTGGTGTCTCAATATCTTCCAGTCAGTAGGGTTGTGCTTTGATAATTGAGTAAAAGTTCTCTTGAGCAATGTCTGGCTTAGGTCGTAGGAGGATCAACAATCAGGAGAAGATCCATCAAGTTCACGGGCACAGAATTAAAAGACATACAAAATCGATTTAACAACAACATATCAGAGTATCTACAGTGATTTTCGGTGACTCCTCGCCAACGCACGCAGTTCCGGCTGGAGAGGCGCCAGCACATCATAAGTCACCACTTTCCCCCAATTCTCCTCGAGCTTCTGCTTCATCCGCTGTGGATCACGGCCTGTCGGTCCGTACCTCCAGTGGTACATCTGGCCCATCTGACGCGAGTGGTGGTGGATCCACCGGCCTCGCTCCAACCTTGCTCCACTGTACGTCTGGAGCGCCTCTCCCAACGCCTCCTTCAGCTCTTCACCGGCAAGGGCCTTCTGCTGCACCGACTCCAGGAGTGTGCAGATGACAAGGGCGTCCTCAACGCCGGTGCAGGCCCCCACTCCCATATACGGGGTACTGGCGTGTGCAGCGTCGCCGACGAGACAGGCTCGGCCGCGGGCATATGTCGAGGGGGGGTTATCTTCCAGATCAAAGATCCCCCACTTGACAACCTTCTCGGGATAAAGTTTCCAGATGTCAGCAATCTGCGGGCTGAAACCCTGGAATACCTTTGCAATCTCGCTGCGGTCCACTTGGACCGTCATCCTATCGGGGTCAGGAAACTCCGAGTCCTCGTAAGCGAAGACGGCGATATTGAGCAGAGTCATGGACATGACTGGATAGCAGAGCAGGTCCGCATTTGGCCCCAGATGGTTGCAGGCATTCTTCGCAACCTTCTGGCCGAGGGCTTTGATGCCCACATCGATGGGGACCATGGTGCGGTAGGTAGCGGTGTGACTGAAGCCTGCCCGGCTCTCACCCGCTAGCATGACTTTCCGGGTGGCTGAATGGATGCCATCACAGCCGAGCAGAACATCGGCCTCGGCGGTGCTGCCGTCATCGAAGTGGAGAATAACTTTGTCGTTGACCTCGTCGTAGCCCGCGAGCTGCTTCCCAAAGATCGACGCTTCTTCAGGCAGCATGGCCGCCATCCCCTTGAGGAACTGCGATCGTACGCAGCCCCAGAAGCTGAGGTTGTTGGTGGGCGTCCGGAAGAGCAGTGACTTGGACTCATCTTCAGCTTCCTCGTTTGTCCGAGGGTGGAAGCCGTTCCAGTAGGCATTGCTCGTGCTGGCGTCGGACTTGCCGCTCATACTGCTCAGGAGCTCGACGAGAGCTGGGTCGATCATCTCCATCCACTCTCGTGCTGCGCCGGTGAATGCAAACCCAGCACTGACCTCGTGCCAGGTTGAGGCTCGCTCGTAGATGATTGCGTTGATGCCCCGGCGACGCAGGCCGATTGCTGTCATGACACCGATGATGCCGCCGCCGACCACGGCGACTTGAAGGGGGGGTGCAATGCTTCCCATGTTAGTAATAATGAGTTAAATTGATGAAGCGGATGTAGTGAAGAAGAGCAATGGGAATGGCATACTGGATAGATCTATATATATCCATGTCCATGTATGTGGTGTGACCCGGGAGGCTGAGTCCGGACTTTGGATTCCCCTTCTGAGATTTGATTCCATGCCCCTCCACGCGGAGTCCTGTATACAGCCTCGGATTAATTCAAAATTCATGACGGATATTTAACGGAGTAAGGAGTAATACTGCATCAAGGTAGGTCAGTGCCGTTTCCACGTGCTTGACAGGCTTGCCACCATATCATCTTGCCTTGAACGTTCGCCCCCGGCCTAGCATGTTCAGCATTCAGCATCAATGTGCTTAGGCTGATGATAAGTTTGTTGGTGGCTGAGTTCGCTGATATTTTGTCCCGGATCGAGTGTCAGCTTCCTTCTGCGCGAAAGTTATTGCGTGAATAGCGCTCTAAGTATCTACACGGTATTTATAACAAGAAACGAACTGGACCTTTTCTCTGCAACCAAATACATACCATTTATTTATTTCTTTCCTTAAGACTAGTATAGCGGGTCTTACATTCTCAACATTAAGCAATATGAAGGTTTCATCAAACACTCGTCCAGCAACAAGCTTCATCTTTGGAGGACACATCGGCCCACAGACCAAGAACTCACTGGAAAAAGAAGTCCGGAAGATTGCCAACGGCCCAAATGGAGGATGGATACTCGATACCCTGGCCAGCATGCCACGGTACTGGGAGGCCGTGACGGAGAAGATTCCCGAAGTTGCCAGCACGATGCAGGGCCCTCGCTTGCTGGCCGACCTTGAATCGTGGTTTCGAATCGGTTCTGACTCGGTCGACTCGCTCGCTCCAGACGCGGAGCTCCCAGATCTTTGGCTCGGGATTCTGATGGTGGCCATTCAGCTGGATCAGTATTGGCGCTATCTGGAGAGTCGACTCGCTGATAGAGTTGTCGACGACCTACAGGCAGAGCTAATCAAGGAGGACAAGGTCGAGGCAGTTGGGTTCTGTGCTGGCATGATCGCCGCCGTCGCCATTGCCAGCTCCCACACTCGACAAGAATTCGAAAAGTACGGCACCGTGGCCTTGCGCATCGCAGCCCTGATGGCAGTCCTTGTAGGTGCCACCGAGGAGTGGACCAAAGCGATGGGTAAAGGCAGGTCAATCTCGTTGGCCACAGCCTGGAGAACCCGCAAACAGGGCGATGATCTGGCGCGCATCATCTCGAAGCTGGCTCCCGATGCCTATATATCTGTTATCCTAGACGACTCCCGAGCTACGGTGACAGTATCAGAACGCCTCGCACCAAAGCTGGCCCGGCAGCTCCGAGCAGCTGGTGTCACGGCCATCCAGCTCGCTTTCAAGGGGCAGCTTCACTCCCCGACAACAGAGCGCGAACGCCTGACCGAAGCCGTGATCGAAATGTGCCACTCGATGTCTGAGCTGCAGTATCCCGATGCTGCCCAGCTCGCACTACCCGTCAACCAAGTCTCGGGTCAAGAAACGGGCTTGGTTGGGATGGTCCTGCGCTCTATGCTGGTAAAGCAGTTGAACTGGACCACCACCGCTTCGAAGCTGGCGCTGAACAAGGAGGAGCTCTCACGCGTTGAATTTGGGCTTGACCGACCCCTCCCTCCCCCGGTGGTGCGTGCCTTTGGTGCTAAGCTTGAGTATAAGGAGGTCAATGTGCCCAAGCACCGACCACACGACAGGGCCAAAGAGCTTGTCCATAATACTGAATCAGCGCAAGTCGCAGAGCCGCCGAGTCAGGAAGCAGACGAAAATGCAATTGCAGTGGTGGGCATGTCGCTCAAGGTTGCAGGAGCCAACGACCTGGAAGAGTTCCAGCAGATGCTCAAGACCGGACAGTCGCAGCACCAGCTCATCACCGACGACCGGATAACGCCCAACATGATTTTCCGCGACAAGGACCCCAACCGGAAGTGGTATGGAAACTTCGTGCGCGACCCAGATGCTTTCGACCACAAGTTCTTCAAGAAGAGCCCGCGCGAGTCGATGGCAATAGACCCCCAGGGCCGGCTTTCCCTCGAGGCCGCTTATCAAGCTCTGGAACAGTCTGGATATTTCAACGAGCTGGCTATGACAAGTGCTGCTGAGCAGGAAAGGAAGAAGCACGTTGGGGTCTACGTCGGGCTCTGCTCCTACGAGTACGATTCCAACGTCCACTGCCATCCACCCAGCGCCTTTACGACGACGGGGGAGCTCCGAAGTTTTATTCCCGGCCGGGTCTCGCATTACTTTGGATGGACGGGCCCATCGTTGACCTTTGATACCGCTTGCTCTTCGTCAACCGTAGCCCTCCACAATGCCTGCAGAGACTTGCTGTCCGGGGAGGTCCCAGCAGCGCTGTGTGGTGGTGTCAATGTCTTGACAAGCCTGCAATGGACGCAAAACTTGGCCGCTGGCAGCTTCATCAGCCCGACTGGCCAGTGCAAGCCCTTTGACTCTGGTGCAGATGGGTATTGTCGAGGCGACGGAATTGCCTATGTCTTCCTGAAGAAGCTCTCAACCGCCGTGGCCGATGGCAATACTGTCCTGGGGACCATTCGCTCTACAGGCGTCAACCAGAACCTCAACACCACGCCGCTCTTTGTTCCCAATGTACCATCCCTATCAACGCTCTTTAACGAGGTGATTCGCAAGGCACGCGTCAACCCACGCGACATTTCGTTGGTCGAATGCCACGGTACTGGCACCCCTGTGGGAGATCCTGCTGAATGGCAAAGCATCCGGAATGCCGTGGCTGGTCCTCAACGTGATACGGTTCTGCCCATTGGGTCAGCAAAGGGGCATGTTGGCCATACGGAAGGCGCATCAGGCCTGGTCTCAATGATCAAGGTGCTGCTGATGATGCGAGGCAACTTCATCCCTCCACAAGCCAGCTTCAACACCATGAACCCCGGTATCCACGCACAGCCCTCGGACAACATGGAGGTAGTCACGGCCTTGCGGTCGTGGCCCGGAGCCCGGAAGGTGGCTCTGATCAATAACTACGGTGCTTGTGGATCCAACTCAAGCGCGATCGTTGCTCACTCGGCGCACAAGTCTGCCAAAGCCCCCATGTCCGGTGGACAACGACTCCCCTTCTGGATCTCCGGCCTCGATGCCCGCAGCATTGCAGCGTACAGCACCGCACTGGCTCCATACCTCCAGTCACAGCACCAAGCGACGAGTCTCGCCGATGTATCGTTCAACATGAAATGGCAATCGAACCCCAGTCTGTCTCAAGGAATGATCTTCAGCTGCGGTTCCTTGGACGAGCTCCAGGCCAAGCTTGCTCAGGCAGCCAAGGCTACCAAGGACACAGCCCCCAGTGTCGGCATTGCGCCCGTGAAGCCTGAGCGACCCGTTATTCTGTGCTTTGGAGGACAGGTCTCGACATTCATTGGACTGAATCGCGCAGTATATGAAGGGGCAGCAGTGTTCAGGCACCATCTGGATACCTGCAATGCCGCCATTACATCTCACGGTCTGAAGAGTATCTATCCCGACATCTTCTCCAGCGAGCCATATCAGGATACTATTAAGTTACAGGCTGCTCTCTTTGCCACGCAATATGCCTCGGCCAAGACCTGGATGGACTGTGGGATCGCTGACAAGGTGGTCTCTGTGGTGGGCCACAGCTTTGGGGAGATCACAGCCCTCTGTGTTGCAGGCGTGCTGAGCCTGGATGACACGGTCAAGTTGATCGCCGGTCGAGCCAGGTTGGTGCAGACCGCTTGGGGGGCTGACTCCGGTTCCATGATGGCCATCGAAGCCGACAAAGGTTTGGTGCAAGATCTGCTCCAGGAATCCAACGCAAAATCCGACGGAACTGCGGGCATCGCATGCTACAACGGCCCTCGCAGCTTCACCGTGGCTGGATCAACTAAGGCCATTGACGCATTTGCCGCCACGCTGCCAGGAAAGGAGGTCAAGAGCAAACGTCTCAACGTCACCAATGCCTTCCACTCAGCCTTGGTAGAGAGCATCATCGACCTTCTGGGGGAGGTTGGGAAGGGAGCCACCTTCCATGACGCCATCATCCCGATAGAACGAGCCACTGAGCATGGCGGCGACTCTACGTTGGACTGGACCTTTGTCGGCTCGCACATGCGCCAGCCGGTCTTCTTCAACCACGCTGTACAGCGACTCGCAGAGAAACATCCCGAGGCCATCTTCCTTGAAGCTGGCTCCAATTCGACCATCACCGTCATGGCATCGCGGGCCCTTGCCAACCCTCAGTCGACGCACCACTTCCAGTCCATCTCCATCACTAACACCAACAATGGCATCGACAGGCTCACCGATGCAACGGTCGACCTCTGGAAACAGGGGCTACGGGTGTCTTTCTGGGCCCACCACCGCCTCCAGAAGGACGAGTATGCGCAGCTCCTCCTGCCGCCTTACCAATTCGAAAAGGCACGGCACTGGCTCGAGCTCAAATCGCCAATCGAGCAAGCCATGAAGATTGCTCAAGTCCAGGATGGAACCAAGACTCAGCAGGAGCACGTCAACCCTAATTCTCTTGACATGTGGACCTTCCTGGGCTTCCAGGAGCACAAGAAGAAGACCAAGCTGGCTCGGTTCCGCATCAACACGTCCTCAGACAAGTATCAGCGTCTCTTTGCAACCCACTTCATCGCGAAGACGGCGCCCATTGCTCCAGCCACGCTCGAGATTGACATGGCCATCGAGACCCTTTTCAGTCTCAATCCGGAATGGAGACGTAGTGGTTTCTCGCCGATAATCCGCGACATGCTCAGTCATTCGCCCATGTGCGCTGACTCGACGCGGGAGTACTTGCTCGACCTGGAGCCACTCAATCCAGCCGAAACAGAGTGGCAATGGACCATTCACAGCACGGGGGTTTCTTCCACCAACGACAAGCACGCCGAGGGCCGCATCGCCATGTACTCATCATCCGACCCGGCCGCTCTCCAGGAATTTGGACGCTGGAAGCGCATTGTTACATACGCCCAGTGTCAGGCCGTTCTGGCATTGGGTCCACACGATGAGGGTGTGGAGGCCCTCCAAGGGCGCAACGTGTACCGAGCCTTTGAAGAAGTTGTCGAATTCGGGTCCGTATACCGCGGCGTGAAGTACATCGTGGGCCAGGAGAAAGGGGAGAGTGCAGGCATCGTGCATAAGCAACACTCCGGTGATACCTGGCTTGACGTCCCCAAGGCAGACTGCTACGGCCAAATTGCAGGAATGTACGTCAATCTGCTGACAGACATCCCCGCCAGCGACATGTTCGTTGCCACCGGCCTCGAGCTGGTGATGCGCTCGCCAAAAGCTCAGACTGGGACAGATGGCCGGGAGAATGGTCCAAATGTCTGGCATGTCCTCGCTCGCCACGCACGTCAAGGCGAAAAGGCTTACGTGACCGATGTCTTTGTCTTCGATGCCTCGACGGGTGCTCTGGCGGAGGTCATCCTGGGCCTGCAATATGTCCGCGTCCCCAAGGCCACAATGAGCAAGATCCTGGCACGAGTGACGACGGACAAGTCATTTGTGAGAAGCACCGCAACAGCATCTCTGCCGTTGCCTGACCGTCTTCAGCCTCGTGACGGGCCCATCACTGCTCCTGCCCCCAAGCTGGCACCTACCAAGGCAAACGTCAAGAAGGCAAAACCTGTCGGTGGCACACGCAATATCGCAAATGAAGTATGCAATGTGGTTGCCAACGTTTCCGGCATCGAGGCCAGCGAATTGAGCCTCGACAGCGAGATGGCCGACTTGGGTATTGATTCCCTGATGGCCATGGAAGTGGCGCGCGAGATGGAGAACACTTTCCATTGCACCCTCGACAGCACCGAGACAATGGTCGCCACCAGCATTCGTGACTTTGCTTCCTGCGTGTCGAATGCATTGGCGAGATCTGGAGGTCAAGACGCTGACTCGACCAGCACCGAGAGCGATGATGTGCTCTCAGACTCGGGGGGTGAAGACACCGACTCTGATATCTCGACTCCGGACGACGCCTCGGACATTACCAGCAAGAGTCACGATCCGGTGAGTGATCCACTCACCCCAGCGATACAAAATGTTGATCGTGACGATGTAGCTGCCCGTGAGGCAGAGGCCCTGCATTTAGTCGAAGCCTACACGGCCGGCTGGGAGTCGCCGGTACTTGAAGACGCTATCACCACTGGGTCTAGTGCTGGAGCTGTGGTAATCGTGACAGGTGCATCCGGCAGCCTAGGATCGCACATTGTTCAAGCCCTCGCCGAGCACCCCGATGTCGCAAGTGTCGTCTGCATCAACCGCGCGGTCAAGGACACGCACCCCGACAGCCGACAAGAAGAGGCCCTATCTTCCAGAGGCATAACACTGTCGCCAGCTGCCCGCGAAAAACTGCAGGTATATGGGACTGATACTTCAAAGGCCCAGCTCGGTCTCTCGAACCAGGAGTACAACTGGCTGGCCCAACACGGAACGCACATCATCCACAACGCGTGGCCCATGAGCGCTACACGGCCGCTCAAAGCTTTCGAGCCCCAGCTTCAGGTTATGCGCAACCTGTTGGATCTGGCGCGCGACATGGCCCTCGGAGATGAGCCGCGCAGGATCGGATTCCAGTTTATCTCTTCGATCGGCGTGACGGGGTTTTCGAACGAGTCGCCCGTCCTCGAGCAGCCCATGGCAATGGCTGCGGCGATACCCAGCGGCTACAATGAGGCCAAGTGGGCGTGCGAGCGCATGTTGACCGACACGCTGCGCCGTCACCCGCAGCTTTTCCAGGCAATGGTGGCCCGGCCTGGCCAGATTTCTGGATCAACTGCAAGTGGCTTCTGGAATCCTGTCGAGCACTTTGCTTTTGTTATGAAGAGTGCTCATGCACTGAAGGTGTTTCCTGATCTGCAGGGTGTGCTACATTGGCTGCCCGTGGACAAATCCGCCAGCATCATGGTGGATCTGCTCAATATCGGCAGCGGCGAAGACTCAGGAGAGGTCTATCCGGTCTATCACGTCGATAACCCTGTTGGTCAGTCGTGGAAGGAAATGGTGACGGTTTTGGCGGCATCTCTGGATATCCCACCCCACGGTATCGTTCCCTTCAGGGAGTGGATCCAGCGAGTTCGTCAATCATCTCTGCCACCAGCGCAGAACCCGGCGTCCATGGGGCTGGGGTTCCTTGAGAGCCATTTTGAACGCATGGCTTGCGGTGGGATCGTGCTGGACACGCAGCATTCAAAGGAGCACTCGAAAACTATGGCTGCGCAAGGGCCAGTGAGTGCTGAGGTGGTTCGGTCGTATGTCTCGTCTTGGAAGACGATGGGGTTTCTTCATCATTAGAAGTGTATGTGATTCTACATATAGCGCTGTTTATTATAGAATGTCAATAGTATCGAGTCTTCTTCAGTCCTCAAACTACATAGCAAGATTCTAAAGCATGTACCCGCTCTATATATGCAAGATAACTATGTAAAATTTCATACATAAATACATCAGTCGTCCCTCGGAAGATAACAATGTGGTTTAACCTCTGATATGTATGTTTCTGGGTAGCCGACTGGAAAGATCCTAATTGCATCGTATGGTGTTGAACATCATAAAGGGTCGCCCCTAGCAAAGCATTGTCTCGTCCTATCGTCCAATCGTCCAGATACTCTGAGTCATGACAGGCAGCATGACTTGAGGAGATACTCGCCCAGCGTTGGTCGATAAGGCGGACTATCATAACTCCAGCTGGCCCTAATGGAGTAACCACCCCCCGAAGAGAGGATATCAGACGTATAAACAGGGCTCCCCGTGGACCTGAAGGTCAGCAGCAAACCATTTCCTAGTACTGCATTTCAACAACATGAACAACGCAGCAACGATCCACCTACCACGCATCCTCTGCCTCCACGGCGGAGGCACCAACGCCGTGATCTTCCGGATGCAGTGCCGTGTGCTCGAGAAGCGCCTTGGACGTTCTTTTCGTCTCGTCTATGCACAGGCTCCATTCACCAGTACAGAACCCGGGCCAGATGTAACGTCGGTCTACAGAAACTACGGGCCTTTCAGGGTCTGGTTCTGTGATCACAACATGTCTAAAGTCCTGACATCCCAGGATGTTGCCACAGCGATTGACGCCAGTCTTGCACTCGCCATGGCTGCCGACGACGCCAAGGGGGCTACGGGCGACTGGGTTGGCCTGTTGGGCTTCAGCCAGGGCGCAAAGGCGGCAGCTAGCATTCTTTATCGGCAGCAAAGATGTGGAATCACCAACTTCCGGTTCGCAATTCTCTTTGCCGGTCGTGGGCCTTTGGTGTGGCTCATGCCTGACCTCCCCCAGCCGCATGGTCTGGTCGACGCCGCTACACCGTTCACACACCCCTCTTCTCCCTGGCTCACTATGGGCTCTGACGGGCACATGTTGCGGCTGCCTACAGTGCATGTCCATGGGGTAAACGATCCTGGCCTGGAGCATCACCGAGACCTGCTTAGGGAGTACTGCGACCCGGTACAGGCCACACTGTTGGAGTGGGCGGGCGATCATCGCATGCCGATCAAGAGCAGAGACGTCGAGACAGTGGTCCAACAGATTCACCGAGTTGCAAGAGAGACGGAGACTCCGTCCGTAATGATGACTGGGAAAGGTTTCTATGGAAGATCGGTCGAGAATGGCTTCTCGCTACAAACTTTGAGCATGTAACGTATTTCACAAGCGAGCCGCCCACACAAGCGAGCCGCCCACCCCAACCAACCTACTAATTTCAATCATATATATGTCAACCATAACTCCATTAAATTGAATATACTAAAATAAATCTATCTAGCTGGGCATCTATTAAATCTATGCTCAGTTGATCTGCACCCACTACACCTTGGTGTAGCCCGCGTACGTGGTTCTAAAGCCGGTTCTTCATGTATGCCGGCACCGGCATGGGGTGCTTCATCTGCTTCCACTAGCTCAGGAATCAATTGAGAAGCTTCTTGTACTAAGAGGCCTTCTTCTGTAGGTATCTGCCTCCGGGATCTAGTACGCTTTTGCTTCTGCTTCTCGTTGGCGGCGCGTAATTCCTTGTTTTCTTTAGCGAGTAAGATAGCACCTTGCATTGTAAGACGGAAGCCTTTCACAAGCTGGTTTAATGCACGATCTGACGGGCTAGGCGGGCTTCGAGATCTTGTACGAAGTAAAGCTTTAATTGATGAAGCTTGTCGACGTAGGTCTTTCTCTGTAAAAGGGGTTTTTGGGGTAAAATTCCGGCTTGATTCACTACCCCGGCTGGTAGGGGGGGTCGGGGTTCGGAGCCGGATATTGAGCTTTGAAATCACTCGGTCGGGTCCAAATGGTACTAAACCGGCTGCTGCGAAGCTATTTTTAATCGTCTCCGATTTAAAAGCTTCAATTCGTGCGTGGGGGTATGCTTCGAGGAAGTCAAGTTTATCAATATAGTTGATCCTATTCCGCATCTTGATTTCAACCATCCGACCGTACGTACGTTTTAACACCGCAAAACAACCAATATCAAGAGGTTGTAAAAGATGAGATGAATGAGCTGGCATACAGATTGGTATCACCTTATTTTGCTCACAAAGTTCATCAAATTTAGGTGTTAAATGACTTCCGTGGCCGTCAAGTATTAAGAGCCGGTATACCCCCTTCGTACGTATAGTACTAGGAATAAAGAGCTTTTCAAGCCAACGAAGGCTAATTTCATCGGAAGTCCAGCCATTAGGACTAACTTCAAGACGCCAATCCTCCGGGAGGCCGTCGAACCATGATTCAATAAAGACTTTGCCTTTAAAGATTATACACGGAGGAAGCACCCATCCAGAAGCATTTATACATTCAATTGTAGTCACCCATTCACGATTTCCAGGTTGTAAAACCGGCCTCCGACCGTAGTATTCACTCCTCGTAATAACCTTTGTAGTTGCAGTTAATCCCATTGCGAAGCCGGTCTCGTCAAAGTTATAGATATCGTCGGAATCGATTCCATATTGAAGGATTGTCTTTTGAACCAGATTAAACCACTCCATAATGATTTTAGGATCTTCACATTTCGCACGCTCGTAGTTATACCGTTTCGAGAATTGGGAGGAGAGGAGAGGACGCCTTTTAACAAAGTTCGTAACCCAATTTTGGCCGACCGAAAGAACCGGGGTAGTTCCACGCTTTTGAAGAAGAAGATCGGCCATTTCTCGTACCATAGAGGGCCGGGGGGCTGCTCCACGTAGATCCATAGAGAGAATCCATTTTTCAAGAGAATCCTCTTCAATTTGGGTCAATTTAAATGAATTAGCGCGTGTAGTACTTCGTTGAGTACAGCCGGATAGGCGGTCGCGTAAGGTTGTACGTGGTATATCAAAGCGGCGTGCTATTTCACGAATTGAAGAGATTTCTCGATTCTTAAAAGCCTGGATAGCTAGTAAGATCCTACCCTCTTGCTCTATTGAATCTTTAGAGCTTCGGGATCGAATTGGTGGCATGGTAGGTGGTTGAATTGACTAAGTGCTAATCTATGGACGCGTTTTGGTTGGGGTGGGCGGCTCGCTTGTGTGGGCGGCTCGCTTGTGAAATACGTTACATTTGAAATTGTTATGGGTGGCGTTAAAGGGGTTCATGGGACGATACCACAATATATTCTATACCACGGCGTATACTGCATGTCGGAGGGCTTTGTCGCGATATACATTGTAAAGGGGTGATCCCCAAACACGGCCGTACTTCGTTCCATTGACCAAGAGTCTCTGTCCTGTGCGGATGCATGTCAGACCGCGGAACAACATTAATCTGAATATCTTTGTTGAAAAAGTGGGTAACGTCTCTCTCGTACTATCTTACCACCACTCAGCCCGGGGAAACGATGTTGAAGCGGACTTTCTATGGGGGCGGAAAGACAAGCTGGGGCCAAACACAGCCACTTGCTTCACTCTTATAAAGGCCACAGCATCCCATAACGGAGCAAGATTAATTTAAATCACAATGTACAGCTCATTAAACACCCTTGCGACCTCTTTCTGGCGTACAACAAGATATTTAAATCTCCCAAGACACTTCTCAAAACTCACCTACTCTCATTCTCCCAACATGCCCTCCATCACCACCGACCAGTGGCTCGAAGCCGCTGCCTACCGTCGCAGTGTCCGTGCCTTGGGGGGAACCTCCAAGGTTTCAGATGAACGAGTTCATGAGATTGTCGCCAAAGTCCTTTCCTTTGCTCCCTCGTCTTACAATACTCAGCCCGTCCGCATCTCGCTTGCTTATGGGGAGAAGCACAAGGAGCTCTGGAGCATTATCCTCAGGGAGTCTGAGCCGATCCTCAAGTCAATTAATCCAGGTCTCTGGCAGAAATTGGGCCCCCTTTTCGAAGGCCATAAAGCTGCTTATGGATCCGTATGTTACCGCTTTGTCACTTGTCACTCAGACCATCTAACCTGTGCAGGTACTCTTCTGGGAGCGCGGTGAAACGGCGAAAGAGGCTGCCGAGACGCACAAAGCAACCGGGCATATGTTTGGCGAATGGGGAGAGCATACTCAAGGCATCCATCAGATCCTTGTCTGGACTGCCTTGGAACTGGAGGGAGTCGGAGCCAATCTGCAGCACATGAACGCCATTCCACCCATCGAGGCTGCCATCAAGAAGTTCGCAGGGGTCCCTGAAGATTACAAACTAAAAGCCCACTTGAACTATGGCGATGAGCAGGCTCCTCGTCCCGAGAACCCGCCGAAACTGCCAATTACCGAGACACTCACGATTCTATGATCAGATTTAGATATGGCTGAGGGGAGGCCTAATGACATGATCTTACAGGGTTACTAGGTAGATAGCGATAGACTTGATTGTGCTGCGGTCTCTAATATCTGACTCTTTTAAGACTGCCCAGAGCACAGTAGGGCTAGTGGATGAACACGTTGCTATTCTAAGTGTCTGCGTATGTCTCCTTGGAAAGTCCCGGGCCACCTCATATATACCCCTGTTGACTTAGTAGATACTTTTCACTTCCTTTTTCCTGCAATCCAAAATTACCGAAACTTAGTACTAACTAGAGGACCCTAACTAAACCATGCATCATCTGCTTAATCAACTTCGTATAGATCTTTATTTCTTGTATCAAATACCCATTAACTCTAAGGAGCCCTATTCTTTTATAATAAACAATGTTTGCTTATGTCTTACTATATTACTTGGGTTAAAAAAGGCCCTAGAATAAATAATAAAAGTTGTCGAATACCAAGTCAATACATGGTAGAAACGGTAGAAACCAGTTATTATACCCTGGGTGCCAGAAATACCATACAAAAGTGCATATTACAGTCATCAATGTCCGCACAGATTGTTGAAATAACTAGCGGGTTTTGTCATTTTAGTTAGAGTTGTCAATATCGGTCATCTATACCATATATTGTTCGTACACCAGCTTTCTGTCAGTTATGAGCCCGGAATCGTTCTATTGAAAGATCTATTTGAATAAGATCAACCTCGCTGTCGTCGAAATTGAGGCTAAAGTGGCACTTTCTCGTCAACTCATCCTCTACCTTTATTTGCTATATACGAAGTGGGCATGACCTAAATACTAACTAAGCATATCCTACAACATGACCTTGGAAGCGTTCACTGAGCAACACCTGAGTGCTCACCGAGCATAACCTCCAGGGCTGAGCACTATTCCGACATTACTAATCATACCCTAAGCATCACTGAGTATCATTTTACTAGTGCAATTAACTAGGTAACATTGTAAGGAAATAGTCCCTGTGCTACCCAGATGTGAGATACTCAGTGAGAATAACCGTATAAAGCGGCGGCACACCGATCGGGAAATTCACATACACGGTCTAAAATCCGGTTGATACAGCTATATGTGTAGGTTTAAAGCCGGTATGTGAGACATTTATTCGAGTTCTTTTGAATAGATATTCTGACAGGCAAAAAAAAAAAAGGGAGAACAGACCAATCAAAGTGAGAGTGAAAACAAAATATCAGAACCTGAAGCTTGATATTGATATACAAAGTAAAAAAGACACATAAAAACTCCACGGCGGTCAGGTTGAGTCACTCAAGTTTACCATGCACTATGACCGAAGAGGCAAAAAAACAGTCCACCATATCATTGGTTTTAGAGATTAACGGCGGTACCACATGCGTGTGATTCTAGTTTGTCTCATCTTCTTCTGCAGCTGGAAGATACCGTACATCAGTGCCTCGGAAGTGGGTGGGCCTTGATTTTTGTTAGTCAATTGTAACAGCACAAGCGTGAGGGAGGAGGAAATGCTTACATCCAGGCACGTAGATATCGACCGGCACAACCCGGTCACAGCCCCGCACGACCGAGTAACTGTAGTGGTAGTAGCCACCACCGTTGGCACAACTGCCCATGCTGATAACCCACCGGGGGTCGGGCATTTGATCATAGACCTGGCGGAGAGCAGGGGCCATCTTGTTCGTCAATGTACCGGCCACAATCATAACATCGGATTGACGCGGAGAAGCACGGAAAATGATTCCAAGACGATCCTGATCGTAACGGGGGGTAGAAAGGTGCATCATCTCCACGGCGCAGCATGCGAGACCGAAGGTCATGGGCCACAAAGAGCTTTGACGAGCCCAATTGGCAATCTGATCAAGGGTGGTCCTGGGTAATATAGGGTCAGCGGAAGTTCGAGGCGCATTCTAGATGAAAGCCATGGAGAGCAAACGAACAAGGCATATTGCATAGCACCCTCCTTCTTCTCCTGGCTGGGCAAAGGCACCTCTCGGCGGGTCTTGCCTGACGCGGTCAATTGCTGGGCGGCTGCTGATGGTTGACGCTCGAGCGCTGTCGCTGATTTGATTGACGAAGTCGAGAGGGCCGCGAAGGGTTGGGCACGGGGGATAGAGGCAACGAAACGGGGTCGCGCAGCTGTTTTCTGTTAGTGAATTGATATTGTCGATGAGGCGAAGAAGATCCCTACCGCACAGAGCGCCAGAGATGGCGGGCCTCGCCATCGGAAGCATCTTGAGAAAAGTCTCTTCGGTGGAGAGGAACAAGTTGAATGGAAGGTCGTGATCCCGGAAGTTAAAGAGACAAGGTAATTGCAGCCTCGTCCAGTGACGACAAGTAATGTAGAATTACAAGAGGGCAGAGGTGGCGGACTCCGGGTAACTGCAAGACAAGGAGAACCCCAAAAAGGTTCCGATTCCAGAGTGGAAGAAGATGATGTATACCGACGGTTTTATGGAGATGATGTAAGCTATTACCTCGCAGCTCATTGGCTTAACGGCCGTATTTTTCAATCACGGAACCTGGTATGGTAAAAGCGGTGAGCTGCTCGTAAATGGAATTGCCTGTGTGGTCATTGGCTCTGAGCTCCTTTTGCTGCCTCGATGCCTGAACGCGTCTTCTCCATAGGTTAGTTATGCCGCGGGGGATTGGAGACAACCACTCCACTGCTGTCTACATTTTGATTGCAAAGTACCCGTCCCTTGAAAGGGCTGCTCAATTACAGAGCATTGTGGACATTATATGGAGAGATAATACCTACCCAAATTAGAACTCTCACTCGATCACGGTGTCGAGACAAGGGAATCAGTCCCTAAACTCCAAGAGCTCAAGTGATTGCGCCCAGTCCAGATACATTGCCACTTCAAGAGCTATCTCAGAAATGGCTGGTCCCAAAATTGCCTGCATTGGCGTGGTTGGGAAAGCAGTATGTATCGCTCTACCAACTTGTCCCTTTGGAATTGTTCATACTAACCCGGTTGCAGGATAACCCTCTCCACATTTCCCTGTTTCCCCCATATTCGGATTCCACTATCGAATTCTCCTTCTTACTGAACTCCTGTCTCGACATTTTCGACATCCGGTGCAAACAAACATCCATTGATCAGGATCTAGGTCTATTACATGCAATTGACGAACGACTTGCGGCCTATGGATGGTTGACGACCACGGGGGTAAAACTATTGATCATTGTGGATTTATTCGGTCAGGAAGAGGCCAGCGCTGGAAAACAAGCAGGCGCTGCGATTAATGGTTTGAGAGATTCTGATTTGAAGCCGGTGTGTTTGTCCTTGATGCTTAGCGAATGCTTATCTGCCACAAGATCCCAACCCCTGACTATTCCATATAGGCATTCCGCGCATTACAGAGTGCATATATCCAGCTTTTGCAGAATCCATTCTATTCCCCCGACGATCACGTACCGATTCCCGGGAATACAGCTTTTTCTTTGTCCGCTTGCCAGCCAATCTCTAACAAAAAGTTCGTTGCGGATGTTAAACGTATTGGGGAGTCGTGGACCCCAGGTACTTCTCTGTAGGGAGAGTACCAATGTCACATCTTGAGGATACAGATAAACCCCTCGGTCAACCAGCTTCCCCAACTTACATTCGTATTAGACAGCAATAATCTTACCAAACCGTTCGGACATTATCCATACTATTTCTTTAGTCATTAAGCTACTTTGGATTTCCATTTCGTATGGTGTAAGTAATGAGGATTCTGAAGATAATAGAACAGAGAAGAAAAGGATGACTATTTTGTTATCTCATCATGCTAATTCGGGTTGGTAGTGTTAAGTTTCGACTTCAGTCTGTTCCAGGGCAACCATAATCTCTGACATTTCACGAGGGTCGCAAACAGCCCACACTCCACCACCTTTGGTGTCAACTCTCCCAACCTCTTTGCCAACCAAATTCCTACCGACCTTTCCTGGTCCAATTCCGATCCACCGCCTCACGCCTCGTTCCTGATCAAGATAGCGAATGCTATCCCACCATCTTACCGTATCAGTGCACTGTCTTGAAAGGAGATCCTTGATGTCTTCCTTAGACTGAAATGGCAAGGCAGAAACATTTGATATGCATGGAATTGATGCCGGGAATGTGATGTTGATTTTGTCGAGGGCATGTCTCATATAATCCGCAGCTAGCGCCATAGCAGGGCTATGAAACGGGCTCTCACTTTTCAGTCTGACAGCCCGTGGGTCGTGACCTCCAAATTGACGCATTTGGACCAGAAGGATTTTGATTCGGTCAAGACTACCACTTAGCACAATTTGATTTTTCGAGTTGATATTTGCGACCACCACTCGTTGAATTGATGGGACACGGTTATCCCTGTCGAATTCAATACCCGGTGATTCGGGGCCAATGAATTCCTGAACCGTTCGAAGCAAACCTTCCAGGTGCTCGGGTTCACAGAGAAGTGCAACCATGCCATATGTTTCACCTGATTGTTCGGTCAACTGGCGCGTACACTGGGCCATCATTTCAGCCCGACCACGAACTAGTTGTAAAGCATCTCCGAAGTTAAGATAGCCCCCGGCAACCAATGCGGAGAACTCCCCGAGGCTATGTCCAAGTGTAACATCGACCCGAGATTTAATGTCGAATCCGAATTCCTGCTCCAAAATACGAAGTATCAGGACTGAGATTGCCATGACCGCAGGCTGTGCATTCTCCGTTTTGTTGAGCTTGGAGTTGGGGCCATCGGATATAATGCTGGACAGTTTGAACCCGAGGGTGCTATCCATCTCGTCCAAAATCTTAGTCGCGGTGTGGGGGAAGTTTTCAATCCAAGCGTTGGCCATCCCAACCCTTTGGACTCCATGCCCTATCGTGTGTTAGCAGCCAATTTGAGGTTCAGAGGTAAAAGGGGGATGGGGGCGGCAAACCTGGGAAAAAGAGGGCTGTGTGCAGGTCTCGTCTGAAGGACAGGATATTAAGGTTTGTCGGTCTCGAAGGTGTAGCCAAAACTTGCGATGTGACATGCACAATGGATCTTAGTCGGAGGTGATCCCTGGAATGCGACAACCGTGAGAGCATCTTGTTTATAGTTGCAGCAGCCCTAAGCAACCCTTTGGGGCCTTGATCTTGACCGTATCAACACAACATATGAGCATGGTGGCTATTTCGTAGTAGCGAGAGTGAGATCCGCTATCCCATGGAGCGAGCGAGAAATGTTCCTTCAGTCCATGCTAGTGTTTATCAAGGGAGTAGTGACCTCCGTGTGGGGTTAGATGTGGGATTCACGTGAGCTCCTTTTTTCGGGGTAATCGGCTATGCAAAGATTTCCCCGTATACGTCGACTGTTATTTATAAATAGACCTCAATGGAGATTACATGGTTCTTATATGCTATACTAATATTATTCATATTCTAAGAGCGATTAATAATATATACACATGCTTAGTTATCTACGTACTTTAACCTCATAAAATATAGCTAAATACCTAATTGAGATTGGTATATACTAGTTTATGTATTCTATTGGTATTTGCTCTATACCTATTTATTACCCAAGTATGCAGAGCCCCACATTTCAATAAGCAGAATAGGCTCAAATCATGCAAAACATTATTCCGAAGTCAGTTGAATGGCCATTTGCGTATGAAATATGAGTATAAGATAGATTTTGATTGTGAGTACTCTCTATAATACACAGAATATAGTGTATGCAGCAGTACATGTAACTTACACATCCATGTACCGACCTTCACAATGTGGTTATTGTCTCACCGCCTTCGGACAAACATCCTCGATTGTTATTGACCAACCCTATCGCTGCTATCACCGTGCTCCAATTCAAAAGCATCTTCTTGGGAGAGCTTTCTCCTCTCTTCCTTTTTCTTTTTCTCTTCTTTCCGACCTTACATCGACCTTGAACAGTGAATCGGACCCCCAAGGGTCAATAATCTTCGAAGCTTTCGCCAGCTAGCGTGTGCTCGCGACTACAGGTTGCGTACATTGAAAATGTTCGTCCCCAAAGCCGGTGGTCGCAATACTCGTCGACGCCAACGAACAAGCTCAGATGACTCTGTCAACCCACCAAAGGCCAAGAGACAGCGCTCCGTCTTGCGACGCCCAGATGAATCCCCTTCCACTACCAACCTGGGGCGGGAGCTCGCAAAATTAGCAACACCCACTGCGCCAAACGGTGACATTATCCCTACGGATCAAATGAGCGACTTGCATCTATCAACCCGTGTTGTGAAACAAGGCGATGTATCTGGAAACAATAACGAGGGGACAATCGTTCTGGTGGGTTACTTGAATATCTTTGCGCGTTCCTTCATACCCTCAAGTCCAAAGTGTTAACTTGCTAGGTTTAAAGTCAAGTACAGATTTCTACACTGTTGATCAACTACCATCTTTGCCAGATCAGATTCGTGGCTTGCAATCAGGTATTTCAAATTCTATAGCTTTTCCTCACCTTGCGTCGCGGTTTGTTGACACCTACTCTCTGGACGCAGAACCCCTCAAGTGCTTTTTCGGACCTGGTCATGATCACGCATTAGCTTTGACCCGCTCGCATGCCATCGTGTGGCCCTATTCTGCGCCCGCTTCGTCCCCATCTCCGTCGGAGACATTCACGGTATCAATTCCGGAGTCTTGCAGGGATCCCAAAGGTGCCGTCCCACTCGGAGTTCTATTATCCACGGCTACAGGAGACCACCCGGGTCTCTTGGTGATCATCCCTTCTACAGGAAAAGTCATTTACTGGGAGACTGTGTCCAGTGCCGCGTCACTGGGTTTATCCCGACAAAAGCAGAATGGCATCCAAGGATCCACCCCTGGCATGCTTTCCGGTGAGTATGCCACGGAAATACTCAATGGGGAGCCTTCAGGAATCATCGTCACGTTCTCGTCCGGACGAGTAGCACACATCACTCTGAGGGACCCCCAGGGAAAACCCTCAGTGCTCGTGAATTTCCTCAGAAGCACTGCAGGGAGTGGAGGCGGTGGAATTTTCGGGGGCATCAAGAGCGTCTTCGCAGGTGGTTCATGGAGAAAAGAGGTCACTGCCGTTCGGGCGGGTGGTTCTCACCAACGCGGCCAGCGAGATGTCATTATTGCAACTTCCACTGGATTGGTTGAAGTATGGGACACGCATTGGAACCACGGCAACACCCTGAAAAAACGATACGATCTCAAGGACGAAGTTCTGGCGGCCCTCCCTGAATATCATGCGCAAACGACAAATGATACAGAGCTCAAAGTCGTGGACTTTGCGTTCTCTGTCCCGCAGTCTTCCGACGAGGCTGTTCAACTTTCCGATGGGTCCTGGCGCCTCTTTCTGGTTGTCAGGTCGCCACAATGGTTAGAAACTAGGGCGCTATTCGTGGTTCAAGTTCACCTGTCAGGAAATGAATGTCGTGTTCTGTCAACGCATCCCGTGGATCTTCGCCATATTCCCGCCTCCCAGCTCGAAACTTCGAAACCCAAGATATTTGTGCCGAAGCCAGAAGAAACGGCTTTCATTCTCATTGGCCAATCTCTTGTTATCTTGTCGTTGGCAAGTGTCGAAGAGAGTCCATCTTCACAACTGCTTCTCGATTCCAACAAATTGCCTTTGCCTTTCCAAGATACCATTCACCTGCGCTCTGGTACAGACCACGAAATCCTGGGGTCCATGGCAGAGGACCAATCGAGCGATTCCTCTTGCGCAGCATGTGTGCTTATGCTTCGGAATTTCGGTGTAATTCGTGTGGCGGTACTCCCTCGTCCTGCAACAGAACAAGATGTCGAGGAGCCTCAAGTCACAGCAAAGCACAAGCTTGAGCAAGCGGTTTTCTTTGGGACCATGGCAAAGAATCCGTTGAATCTGTCCAGCGAAGGCGACTTGAACTTCCCTCCGTCGGAAATGGAGCAAGCATCCTTGGAAATCTGCAGGGAGCTGCTCCAGTCAGAGACTCGCTTCATTCCCACCACTGCTATTTCACTAGAGCAAAATCTCCGCTTGAGAGCAAAGGCATTGGACGATCTTGCCTCACTACTATCACGCCAAGGCAATCCTTTGAGTCGACCGGCAAGATGGGAGCTGCTGTGGGCCGCGGAAAAGATTGCAGCACAAAGAGCTATGTGGAAGGTTCAAGAGGCCTGTAAGATCAAAAATGGAGACGAAGAGACTTTCCTCGGTCATGTCATTGGATCCATGCACGATAAATTCAAGACTCCAATCAACCCCCAACACGGAGAGACCGATCCGGTGCGTCAATGGTTCCTGAGAGACTCCTACCGCATGGAGCATATCATCCCATGGATCAAGAACGCAATCAAGCTCGGCCGGAGCAACACTTCCAACCCTGCGCGCACATTGTCAGAGAAGATCCTAGCGGCTAGTGAGCTGTTCCTGGCGGTCACGGAAACTGCTTTCCGATATCGCGATGAGCATGTTGCGCTTTATGGTCTTACTGGAGACTTCTTGGAGGATGGTGTGCTTTCCGATGGATATGAAGATCTTCCCGAGTTTTGGACATCGAGAGGTGTTGGTTACTCTGAAGCAGGGCATTTACTCGACTTGGAATTGGATAGTTGCCGGTCATGGATAACACCCGCATCGGCTGCAGATGCCCCTGACACGCATGTTTTGAATCAAGTTGCAAAAAACAGCTATCGACACCTTCGCGTGATCGGTCAAATGCATCTCGAACGAACTCGATGGCTTTCTGCGCAAGGAGATCCGAAACTAATGGATGAGAGTGTCTCGATTGAGCAGGCCCATGTCGAAGACCGTAAATGGCAGCTCTTCAAGTTGGCTGGTATCGACCATCTTGCCGATGCCGTCGAGCTAGCAGAAAGCTTCCGAGACATGGGGGCGTTGGTCGAGTTGATCATCGAGCTTCAAGACCAAAAAGCAACTCAACATCCGCGTACAGAACCCCAGAATGATATTTCCACGAACCAAACCGAGATCGACGCCGACCGATTGATCGCCAAGTATTTCGACAAGTTCGGCGCCCTTTGGGCAGATGCATACTTCTCCCGGCAAATCGCGATGGGTTATCCAGGAACGCTGTTTACGATGCGAAAATACCAATCTGCCGTCACCCGATTCCTCCGAAGTAACCCCGCATATTCTCGCCTGAGCTGGATTAACGATGTCATCGGTGAAGACGACTATGACACTGCCGCAACCTCATTGGAGAATCTAGCGATTAGCGGTGAGAAAGACTTGTGGAGCCACCGTGTAGAGATCTCGATAGCCAAGCTAGGCAAACTGGCGACGCAGGAGCGAATTGATTCCCCCGGTGTGACTTCTACTTTGCAAGAGGATGTGAAGCGTCTTGATGATTATGTCGAGGTCGATGGGGTCCAAGACATTCTCTACTTGCACATTGAGCATATCCTGGAAGGTGCTATTGACCGAAAGGCAGCGCTTGAACTAGTTCTCGGTCAGTATGGAGAGCATATCTTCGAAGATCGGCCCTCGCTTCATGAAATCCTGAGCGACGCTCTCTCGACCTTGATCGACAGACAGGTTGTTGGTTCCGATGGCTTGATTGATATCCTGACATTGATGGGCCCTACTCAGCTGGCAGATGATACCGAGAGTGATATTGCACGGAGCGAGTTCCATCTCGCCTTGCAAGTTCTTGATTATGGACGCTACGGCCAGCGAGACCCATCCTACCTCATGGCTTTGCAGAGGTTGATCTGGCGACGGTGCTTGATCAAAGATGATTGGGTAGCTCGGGGCAAAGCTGCTGAGGGTCCCAACGGTACTGAATACAGCTCAGTCGCCGACACGGCGCTCTACCGTTCACTAACTGCATGCTTGGAAGGTGGGATTTTTCCAACCATAAACACTTTGACTATGGGGCTAACTAACGGACTATGTCTAGAACCTCGAAATGCCGGTCTGCACTCTATTTACAAACCTCTCTCACCTACGGAGGCTCTGATGACTGATTCTGATTCCGATATTCTTGTGTCACGGTTCCGCCCAGAGCAAAAATCTCGTGTGGCGTCCGACCTTCAGACCGAAAACGACATTTTGCGCCAGTGCATCGAGGTCGGAAAACTTGATTTCTGGTTCCAAAACCTCCGGGAAACTGCTGAGGTCCACATATCGCCCCCCAAATAGAGCACCCATGATTGATGGTGAAGTTGCTGGAGCAAACGATTGAATTTTCTCTACAATTGACGTGGGGTTGGGGTTGAAATAGCGGCGTTTTCGATACTCTTACTCGGTTATCCAATGACCAATGGGTCATAATATGTTGTATTTATGAAATCTCAAGAGATATTTCAATGTCGTATTGTTCAGGCCGTCGGTAAACCCCAAAGCTACGTTGTACTTGATCATAAGACTCTCATTCTTGCAGTGAGTGAAATATGAATGTTATGTTTGATTGTGGTTGTTTTCTCGGACTTTCATAATAAATATTGCTTCCCGTGTCACCGGGTCATGACCCTTGGAGATTACCTTGTTCATGTTCCTACCTGCTTGACACCCGGAAGTTGGAAATCTCAAGTTGCGACAACGATAGCCGAGACTCCCTAATACTTCCTTCCGTGATCAGCCTCACTATCGTTGCTACTGGCACTCTCAACCTTGGTCACGGTATTATCATTCCCCGCAGCCATGTCGGCCTCACCGAGGTCTTCTTCCTCGAACACAGGCTCCGGTTCGACGGCCTCAAATTTGGTGTTGAAGTCAGACAGACCCTGGGTGCTACTGTTGGACCGGCGTCTAGCATTGGCGAACGAGTAGTTGGTGTCCTGCATTTCGTCTCCTGATCGACCCCTGTGGCAATGCAAGCATTAGCTGGATGGATACACATGGCTATGACGTGCATTGATTACCAATTGCCTTTGCCACCCCCGTCCTTCTTTGTCTTGCGAGGATCAGCATCGGTGGGGCCGGACTTTGCGAAGTAGCGTGGTATATTGTCACGAGTACCCATCACACCCTCAGCCTGGTATTCACGGTCGTTGGATTTGTGTGAGCGGGTCACTAAGGGTTGTTTTGTCATGTCAGTAGGATGGTCACTGGTGGATTGAGACAGCAAGTGTATATGGTTTGATGCCAAGGAAGTATATCAACACGAGATGGATGCTTACTGGTTTCAATGTGAATGTTTGATGTGATGATAGATGAGGAATTAGTTCAAGGAGAGATGGTAAAGAAGAAGAAAGGACAGGAGAGACAAGATACCATGCAATTCAAGAGGGGGGCGTAGGACTCGTGACCTCATACCCCCTAGAGAGTGCGGGGGTTGGACTAATGGGGGTTCCACCAACCTTATTTCCTCTTAGGGCATCTGTAAACATTTACATCTTCCAAGATATAATAACAGTTGATGGAAGGAGAACATCCGTTTCTTGTTGCTTTCTTTGGGAATAGCCCACAATCAAGGCTAAGAAATTACCTCGAATTGGCGAACCAATGCCATATAAGAGCCTTTAGCTAACTTGTCAATTCAGCAAAGAGTATGAAAGAATTGAGAACTAGGCATAATGAGGTGTTGCTTAGCCTGATAGAACCTAGTTGTCTTCGCATTTTCCTCATCTAGGATTATATATATATTTTGTTCGTACGAACCCGGTACCGAGTATATATTTTCGATGAATGACGCTTTATCATAAGTGTAAGCAAAAACTGACCAGTATTGTATAATATTATGTTAATTTGAATTTTGAATAGTTTAGAGTCACATAGCTTATAGTTATATCCTTTTATTCCCCCAAGTGTCATATTATATATATGGCTGATGAGAGAATTTAACATCAATGCCGGAGCTTGAGGGATATTCTCAAGAGGTTATTGCACGATCTGCTCATCTTATACTTGGCATGCAAGACACACCCATTGCTGCTTACCGTATACAAACAGTTGAACTCCGCAACAATTATTAGGCATAGAAGACTGACTACAGCCCTTAGGGCTGTAGCTATTTCAAGACTACGTCTGATCACCCCGGGACTAAGTTTCTTCGAGCCTAGCGGGGAATTTCACAGCTAAGAAGAGAGAGAGAGCGGAGTAACCTAGAAGGTACTCATCCTATCAAATGTACTTACATGCCATCACTGTGGTCTAAGGCCACCAATGATCATGTAGCTTAAATACTACACCCACTTTAATATATACGTTTCGTTCTTTAGGCATGAGGCCTCGAATAATTCCAAATGATAGACAGCAGTGCTGTTGTTCAAAGGTTATATGCAGCGTATCTATCTCAATCAGAACCTTGGAACATAGCACATATAACTACAACAGTGATCCTTTGAAAGACCAAGATTAGACTGACCACTGGGCTAGAACTGACCTGTCATCACTCTCCACATTTGGTACTAGACACACGGAAGATGAACCGGATCTATTACGGGGGAAAATGAGGTAGAAGGACGAAGCAGGTAACAATGATATCTAGTTGGACCAAGCATCACGCCCCAGGATAAGCAGGTGGGACTACACAATGTACCTTTCTACATGGTAGCAGGCTGAAGAGAATTGAACATGAATGAACTACAACCCTTGAATTTTTGGGATCATGTCTAAGACTGGCAACGCGTAGCTAAACGCCAGTTCAAATCTGTCATACACGTTTGAACTTTTTTCTTTTCCTATGACCAGAAGACAATGATTTGCCCCGGCTGACCAGTACGTGACACCACTTCATTGACATAACCTTTAAACATTCTCGAGGACGGTCTCCTTGAACTCCCGCTCAACCTTCTGTCCCTTGTCATCAGTCGAGGACTCTCCGTGCAGAGACAGGAGAGCACCGAGGTCGAACTTGGGGGACTTGAGGAGCTTAACCTTGCGAATGTGGACCTGTAGACATGTATGTTAGCAACCCGTATATATATGTGCGACTCTCTAGTCTTGGGGTGAAAAAAAAAACGAACATTCTGCAGGGGGTAGATGCCCTGGGTGGACTTCTCGATCTCACGGCCAATAACCTCGGGGATGAGCTTGTGGGTGAGCTGGGAGAGAGTGCAGGTGGAGGCCTCGCGCTGGATGATCTCGGTCATCTTCTTGCGAATGGCACGGATCTGAGAAGAACGGGCGTAGGTGGTCTTCTTGATCTGGTTGGGGCGTCTCTTGGTGAAGGCAATGGCGAACAGGCGGAGGAGGTAGTCGTCAGTGGTCTTCACGGTGATGTTGGCCTCGATCAGGGACTGCCACTTGCGGACAAGGGAACGGAGCTTGTCGGTGGTGAAGTCGAGACCGTGGAAGTTGGTCAGGCAGTTCTTGCCCTGGATCTCGTCGACGCGGAGCTTGACCTTGCGGAAGGCGTGGTCCTCATCGTTCTGGAGGTCGGCGAGAGAGACCTCGAAGATACGGCCCTTGAGGGAGTCGTTGGCGTTCTTCAGACCGCTGGTGCGGTTGACCAGAGTCTTGCCGACACTGATAATTCCGTTAGTCAATCCATCTCAAAATTTCGCCATATTCGATTCGGGTGGTTTGCATACTCGCGGGTCTGGAAGGTGGAAGGAGCCTGTCGAGAACGATTAGCATTGCGTCTGGGATAATGAAAGGAATAAACACACCTTCACAGAGTACTCGTCCTTGCGGGTGAAGGGGTCGACTGTGCGCTTCTTGATACCCTTCTTACCCTTAGATAGGCGCTTGTTCCTGATCGAAGAAGATTAGTCGTGTGTTCGTGAATTCAATGGATGTCGTAGATGCGCAAGTAATTCGATAAATTGCAAGAAGGAAAAGGATGAAGAATAGGGCGCTTACTTTCCAACAGCCATGATTGCGAGTTATCTGTGTGTTGTTGGAAGACAGACAAAGGTATCGCACCGCGCGCTCAGAGGGTTTCGACACTCGACTGGGAGGGTTGAAAACCCACAGAAAACTCGGCTAAGCGAGCGCGGGCCCTAGCTGATTATGTCATTCACTCTGGTCATGTGATCGAACATTTAAAAAAAAGGTCCACTAGATTATCATTATGTCATCGCCTTATGTCATCACCATATAGTGCTGGAGTCCACTGATCACTATTGTACTAAATGGAATGTGGTAGATCGCTGTTACAATTGGCCCTATACTATTGGCGTTAAACTTTTCCTTCTGAATGTTGTACACTGAAATGTGTATGTGTACTTGCATACTTATGTATTGGATTGGTTTCATATGTACCGTCTGCTAAAATCAATACTCTTTCCTCGATAACCCGCATGGAACCCTCCAAAATTTTAAATTGGCCCAACATAGACCCTTTTCATATGATTCTAGTGTATTGACAATGTAGATCGCTTTGTGGAATTGCCACCCATTGACATCACATGTCGGAATCTGGAGGCTCATTATTCCGATTCCCAATTAAGCAAGTCATCTTGGCATCCATGCCGCGGGCCTACTCCCACGCGAGTCGACACTTCTCATTGCTTCACCTTTCCTCTCATCCCTTCTTTCTATTTTAAATCCTGTGTCGCAGGTCAACTTCAGCATGGTACGTGGCATTATTTCCCCCCTATCTGACCGGCCTGATCACCCCGACCGTGGATATATGCTGATTGCTACAGGGCAAGCGTAAGAAGTCAAGCTCGAAGCCCCAAGGGCCCCGAAAGGTAAACGAATTACAAATCGCCAGGTTTTACACTCAGCACTGACCGTGAAACACAGAGGGAGCCGCTTGCTACCACCTTTTCCTGTCTCTTCTGCAACCACGAGAATTCTGTGGTCGTCAAGTTAGACAAGAAGCTTGGCCTAGGCGATCTATCCTGCAAAGTGTGTGGCCAGAAGTTCCAAACTGGTATCAATTGTGAGTTGATAATCAACCCAAGGCACCAATCCTAAATACTCCAACTAACACAACCCTTTAAAGATCTCTCTGCCCCTGTGGATGTATATTCGGATTGGGTAGACGCATGTGATGCAGTTGCGAAGGATACTGCCAACCAATATGACGCACCGAACCCGAGCCAACAGAGAGGAATCAGCAAGCAGGGTATTTCAGAAGAGACTGGGCAGGGCGATGGCTATGATGATGACTACTGATCATGGGATGACGGCGAACGGCGCATTAAGGCACGATATCAACAATAATTGAATTGTGAAATTCTTGTATGTACATGGTATTTGATATTCTTGCTGCATATTCTCGTTGTATATGCTTATCATATCTCCCAAACCCCAAGAAGTGTCTCACCCACCTAGACCTCTACCCCACTACCGGGCATCAAGTCAACTCTGAATAGGTGACTTGTATGGCGAAGTGGAAGTGCCTTATGGCATCTGGAACAGACCAAGCAATGGGTGGATAATGGAATACTGAATTACTCAGAATTTCCAGGTGACCTTGTGACCGCTGATGTTCCTTTCAACGTGGTAGGAAACAACACTTTTACATAGAGTAATATCTGTCGCCGAAATCTCCCAGGCCGGGGATAATATACCTATCAATCAGTCAGCATGGCAATCGCAACACCCAAGGGGTGTGATATTCTCACTTCTTCTCATCCAATCCTTGATCAATGAAAGAGGTCACAACGCGGAGCTTAGGGAATCTCTCCGCAAATTCAGCAACACCAGAGGGGCTGGCAATGAGGTTGAGGAATAGGATCCGGTGTTCAGGAACGCCTCTCTCGATCAGTGTCTCCACAGCCAGGGTTGCAGAACCACCTGGAGAAAAAAATGAGCTGGGTGGCCATGGGCATTGTAGAACAAGCTCAACTCACCAGTTGCAAACATGGGGTCGAGGAGAAGGACCCATCGATCAGCAATGTCAGTAGGGAGCTTATCGTAAAACAGTTTGGGCATACAAGTCTCCTCGTCCCGCTGGATGAGAATTTTTCCAATGCGAACAGATCGGCAGCAGTCGCGCAATCCTTGTTCCATGGCCTCGCCTGCGCGCATAATAGAGACACCGCAGATCTTTCCTTCAAATTGGACACCAAGGTAGGACCGTCCAACGGGGGTAGTGATGGACTGCTCAACAACGGGGAGGTGGTTCAAGCCTTCCTCCACCAGCAACCGAATGATGCGGTTAGAATAGAAGATAAAATCAGCACGGCTGGTTCTCTTGTCTCTGATCATCCTGTTTGTGGTATAAAATATGAGTCTAGTGTTACTTTCCACGCAGAGAATGGGTCCTCACGTCAAGAGAGCAATCAATTGGGGTGTTTGAGGTAGCACGTGGACATTCTCATAGGAGACTTCCTTTGAGACTGTCGCAGTGGGCTTCTCGCCATCAGGCCGATACAGAGGACCAACACCCTGCGCAGGAGAAGGACCGCTCTCTGGTTTGCTAGCCATGATTTTGCTGCGTCCAAAGATGTGTGGGTGTATGTGGGTCGTACTAGGGAAAGAGAGAAAAAGAGCTGTTAGAATATGAAAGCACCGGAAGTTCACCCGAGACAGTCGAAGTACCTTTAAAGGACAAGAGTCCAGAGAGGGGTATATAAGGATAGGGCCGTTGGATGTCTCAAAGCCGAAAGCGGGGAAGTATGTAGGGTTTTACTCTTATCTTATTTTCTATATCTGGAAGCTATACCGCAGTGGGTGATTCTGCCCCATCTCACCCCCCTCCGCCTCTTATCACTTGCATCATCTCCCCAATCAGACCTCGGCTGCCAATTGTTTCTTTAATGTTCTCAAAAGAAATTGCCTAGGTAATTTACACATTCATTGCCAATCACCTAGGGGTCACTCCTTTGATGACTGCGCCACTCCCTTTGAGCGTGTGTAAGCTCCAGTGAACACCGCAAGGACATGGATTTGTCTCAAGAAACGACTACATTTTACTCGATTCTTTAATCCAATTGCTCCTCGACATACCTTTATTTCTCTTCGAGAACCAGATTTCTTAGTCGAATTCATCAAACAACGCGCGCGCATCTACTTGCGCCCACTTTGTGGACCGAATATGGATAACTCACAATCTCGGAATCGACGACTCGTAACCTATGGCTCTGCTGCCAGAAGTCAACCTCCGCTGAATACCGAAAAACCGGTGCGCTCCTCTACCGCTAGAACGACTCCTAAAGAAATGCCTTTGCCAAGCTCGTCACGTCTCTCACGGTCATTCTACACCAGATTACAGCGCGACAAGAACGGAGATAAACAACCGTCTGGATCGGTTGAAATGACCACGACTCGAGGTCTTACACAGTCAAAACCCATCGCAGAATCTAATGTGTATGACTTTCCTTCTTCAGACGATGAACAGATGTCCATGGTTCAAAGGAAGCGAAGGCGATATAGCCCCGATGGAAACAAGGCCATTCCTGCGATTAAGCGATCCGTGAAGCCAAGCGACACAGATAATGGAGATCATAATGTGTCACCACAAATGAGGAAGAAGGTGCCTGTGCCCGGTGGAAATAAGGTCGTTCCTGCGACTAAGCGACCCGTGAAGCCAAGCAAGGCAGAGAGTGAATTTATTGACGTTTCACCACAAATGGGGAAAAGGGTGCTCGATGGCCGGAGGCTATTGACTAAAAAGCCAGAAGCCGGTCAGGAGACAAGCCCCGTAAGGTCGACATCATATCCAAGGACTGGGAGATCCGTGCGGAACCAGACTAAGGTGTCTACTCCCGAGCATGAAATGAGACTATCAGCCAAGGAGAGCCCCGGGAATGCAGAGTCCGCGCCAAATAGCTCGCCGGACATCAACCAGGGCTATGCCACTAAAGCGAACATCACCCCTGGTCGAAGGAGACTGATCGACTCGCTCGGGATCACGGAACACCCGGTTGAAACATCTCCAGCGGCTGGAAAATCAGCAGAGAGTCCCGCCGATAGTCAGCAGTCCCGGAATCTAATCCTCCCCGACCGAGCTTCGCCAAGTGCGGCTGTGAATGAGTGTCCTGCCGAAAACCAGGCTCAAGACTCTCCTGCCTCAGTTCCATCTCATTTGCGAGGTTCCCGCGTCACCTATGCACGTCAACGTTCTTTTTTGGATGACTTGATTATGTCAGAGGACCTTTCGACGCGCAATGATTCACCTGGTCCAAAGCATCGCTCTCAATCTGTCCAACGTCAGTTGAATTACGAGGCTACTTCTACTGCCCGTTTAATCGTGCCAAATGAGGATACGAATGAGGATGGATCTGTCCGAAGTATTCATGAACTCAGACAAGCTGGGGGAAACGCTCGTTACCGAGGCGCCGTCGAATCTATCTTTGAAGATATCGAAGATCCGCAAAACTCATTGTCAGGTCGATCCAATGCCTTCCTCCAATTATGTGGCAAACTTCTGGATACTGGGCTCAAACGGCGGTTTGTCGAATGCAATTTTGACAAAAGGCTTGTGGATTGCCTGTCCATGGACCACCAGGTGGTCCCCACTATTCTAGCTTTCTGTGCCTATGCACTGGCGTCATCAGATGGACACATGTCTTATGTTCTTGCAACTTCCGCATGGCCTAAACTTCTAGATGCATCGCCTGCTTTATTGGACATGCAAGATGACATTCCGGTGACCGCAAGAGCTCAAGCCAGCGGCCTTTCTCGGCCCTTGCAAAAAACTCTTCAGAGCACCATTCCACAGATAGCTGCCATGCTGTTCCCCGATACTGCATTGTTGAAACTATCCCCATGTACTCTGGCATTGTATTGCCTGAGGTCGACGATTTCCACTATGCAAACCAAAGGCGAGAACCCTAGCCTCCCCACATCTCTTCTGAAACCGTTGGTTCAAGCGCTTGTGTCCGAAAGCCAACGTTGTGATTCATTGGAAAAAATACACCCAGAGAGCTCTCAGATACTGTGTATGGGCTTCTCAATATTGGAAGCTTCTACTGCATTGGCTGAGTCGCTCACAAAAGAGCATTGGGACATCCTAGACCCGCTCTCTGAGCTTCACCTGCTCTGTTTGGAGTCAGGCACCGCTAGCGAAATACAACCCCTCTACATTCGACTTATCTTGAATATCACCAACAACAACCCCCCTCTCTGTGATAGATTTGCAAACCCGGATATGGTTGGGGGATTGGTCCACATTGTCTCTGCAAACTTTGGTGATTTGACTGAAGATGCTCTTGGACAAGCGAACAATTCCCTGGACAGCGTGATATTGGCGCTCGGCGCACTTATCAATCTGACTGAACAGAGTGAAGCATCAAGATCGATTTTTCTTCAATCTGCTGGTTCCTCAAAGCCTTTCCTTGATCAACTCTTGCATTTGTTCATGACGCATGTTGAGTCTATCTCCACAGTACGTGTTCAGTCTTTTTATGTTTCCCTTTTCACCGACGCATTGGACTAACTGGATCTGATTAGGCTCATTCGGTCTTGGAAGTACACCACAACGTTGCTGTGGGATATTTGGCCGTCCTTTTACTAACACTCAGTTTGGACCCTGAGACTCGGTCCAAAATCAAAAGCTCACTCGCCCCCAACGGATTAACGGCGGTGATATCTACCGTTGATGAATTCCTGCAGTACCATCAGAAGATTGAACAAGAAACCTCCACTTTTCCCACCCAGGGACAACCAGCGAGTGGGTTCCTGTCCAGATTACAAGAGCTTATCTCTCGGATACGACTGGCAGAGCAATGATGAGCGTCTCGTGCTATGCATGTGTAGCTTGACGGCAGATAAGTGCGAGCTTGGTCTTTTCTACCGGCATTTTTTTTAGACTCGATGACATGAACTCCTTGGTCTGTTGGCAGCTTTTGATACCCCCTTTCCTCGTCAACTTTAATTGAACCATTTACGCTAGAATGTTCCACATTCATATCCACCTGGGCAGATGCCCACCACTTATCAAGATCGTCATAAAATAATGACCTCAGGTCAAGCCAGACCTCAATGTTCAGAAAAAATGAGATTTGTTAATTTCTGTAATATAGTGCATTTTATGACAAATCACAAATGGATTATCATCGAACGTACCTACACGTAGGCAATTATTTATAGATCGCCCAGCCCTGGAGTTGGAGAAACTGCCGTTTGCATTGTTTGCAGGTTACAAGGAGTTGGAGCTCCGCATGCTTCGAGGGATTTGCCACCCCCCGACGACCTCGTTTCTGAACAGGTGCCCTTTTGTCTCTGAATAACTCGTTGATTCAGTTCCATCAATCAAAAATACACCGCCCACCTGAATATATCATCATCATTATCTCCCATTTACATTGGTGGTTTAGCTGAGTCTTACCGCACTGCACAAGATGCCTTCCGCGCCTAAGCAGAGAAAGATCGCAATCGTTGGCAGTCGCTCCGTGGGTAAAAGCCCCTTTTATAACCCAAGGCACTATAATTGCGAAAAACTGACACTTATTATTTAACAGGTAAATCATCTCTCACCGTTCGCTTTGTCGAGCACCACTTCGTGGAAAGCTATTACCCTACAATTGAGAACACATTCAGCCGGATTATCAAGCACAATGGCCAGGATTACGCAACTGAGATCGTCGACACTGCGGGACAAGTGAGTGATTACTGTGCGAGATGACCGTTTGGTTACTGAGACCATTCTACAGGACGAATATAGTATCTTGAACTCTAAGCATTTCATTGGGATTCATGGATACATCATTGTCTACTCAGTGACATCGCGCCAGTCATTTGACATGGTGCGGGTGATTCGTGACAAGATCCTGAACCACCTCGTTAGTCACCGTCCTTCTCATGACTAGTACTCGCGAACCAGCATCTAATATTTCCTCTAGGGAGCGGATGATGTACCTCTTGTTATAGTAGGAAACAAGAGTGATCTCAAACCCGATCACCGCCAAGTCACCCTCGACGACGGACGGCAATTAGCAGAGGAGCTCAACTGCGCTTTCACCGAAGCTAGTGCTTTCCTTGATTTCAATGTCGCGAAAGCCTTTGATCTCATGATAGGAGAGGTTGAGAAGTCTCAAAATCCATCACAACCAACTGGGAACAACAAGTGCGCTTTGATGTAATATGGGGGGCCGTCTACTGGAACGCGTGTGTTTCTCTCCCGGGGATGGTAAGCGAAGCCATCTCAGGATCTCAGGATCTTTAGGTCAAGAAACATTAAACATCTCTTTCATCGGAGCTGACAACACTATACCTTGCTCTTTTGAAGTCCACTCAATTCAGATCTATGGGATGTCTTGTTTGCTGACTCGATTATTGACTTAGAGATTATCAGCGCCAATTTGATAACACCAACTTGGTGGCTTCTCAAAGCCGTCTTCTTTTTGGCTCTATTTCTATTTTGTCTTTCTGGTGGAACCATTGGGGTTTTTGCATGAATAATGAGTTTTAGGGTCGAATTCGGGAACATGGATCGGTACCAAGCATAGAGTAATGAATCTCAATTTGAACAAGCTTCTATAAGTACATTAATGTATGCAAAGTGTTAAATTAGACTGATATATAGAAACATCCGTGGCCATAACTCTAGCCAGTTTGGAAGTAAAGACCTTGCGGAGCTCTGGAGCGCCTTATCGATTAAGTAATGCAACCCCTCGAAGCCCAAGTGCGTGGATACACGCATTTCGATTTTCCTCGTTTTTACCCCTCCACAATTTGAGTCACCACTCTACCACTTGGACTCCCCTGAACCCTTAAAACTCCAATCGCCAATATGTTGGACCTAGCCGACTTTGTCACCGAGCGCGGTGGTGATCTCAAGAAGATCAAGGAGAGCCAGCAGAAGCGATTTGCTCCGGAGGAGACCGTTGATGAAGTTGTCGCGCTCTATGAAGAGGCACGACGCGGTATGGATTCTTTTCTTTTAGGTTTGGCGAAATCTTACTGACAGTTATAGCCCGATACGATGTCACACAGATGGGCTCTCAGATCAATGGAGTCCAGAAGGCAATTGGAATGAAGAAGAAGGTAGACATTTCCCGGCCAGTCTAGTTGGATGTGGAAATGCTTATCCGTTCTCAGAACAAGGAAGACGCAACCGAATTGCTCGCACAAAAGGCAGAACTCGAGACAAAGAAGAAGGAGCTTGAAGAAGCTGCTGTCGCCAAGGAGGTCCAACGCGACCGAAAGATTCGCACCATTGGAAACTACGTCCACGAATCCGTGCCCGTGAGCAACGATGAGGTATGAATCTGTTAGGTCGCCTGAGGATCAAATGCGCCGTGAGACTAACAAACGAATTTCTGGCTACAGGCAGACAACAAGCTGATCAAGACATGGGCCCCCGAGAACGTCGAAATGCAGAAGCCAGGTTGCCTCTCCCACCACGAAGTGTTGACTCGTCTCGATGGATATGACCCAGAGCGTGGTGTCAAGATTGTTGGCCACCGTGGATACTGCTTGACTGGATACGGTCTTTTCCTCAACTTGGCTCTGATCAACTATGGTCTGGAGTTCCTCTTCAACAAGGGCTACACTCCCAACCAGCCCCCTCAATTCATGCTCAAAGATCTCATGGCGAAGACCGCACAGCTCGAGCAATTTGACGAGGAGTTGTATAAGGTTACTGAGAGCGAGGATAAGTCCACCGACAAGTACCTCATTGCTACCTCCGAACAACCATTGTCTGCCCTGCACGACAGCGAGTGGCTCCAGGACAAGGATCTTCCCATCAAGTACGTCTGCCTTGTCACCCAGGAGTAAGTTATTTTACTGATAAGAGGAATAGGTATGCCGGTTACAGCACATGCTACCGTAAGGAGGCTGGATCTCACGGTAAAGATGCCTGGGGCATCTTCCGTGTTCACCAGTTCGAAAAGGTTAGCATAGACCCGAATGCGCTGGAATCCTGTACTCTAACCCCATGCAGATTGAGCAGTTTGTTCTTACCAAGCCCGAGGATTCATGGCAAGCCTTTGAGGACATGATCAGCACTTCCGAAGAATTCTACCAGTCCCTAAAACTCCCTTACAACATTGTCGCCATTGTCTCCGGCGCCTTGAACAACGCGGCATCCAAGAAGTACGACTTGGAGGCCTGGTTCCCATTCCAGCAGGAGTACAAGGAGCTCGTCTCCTGCTCCAACTGTACCGATTACCAGTCCCGAGCTCTGGAGATCCGTTACGGCGTGAAGAAGGCCACCGATCTGAAAAAGACTTATGTTCACGCGCTAAACTCCACTCTGTGCGCAACCGAACGTACCCTCTGCTGTCTGCTTGAGAACTACCAGAAAGAAGACGTAAGTATCCAAAGGTTCATTGGTGATTCCGGCAGTAGCTAACTATCATTTAGGGTATCGAGGTCCCAGAGGTCCTGCGGAAATACATTCCCGGTGCTCCTGAGTTCCTCCCTTACACCAAGGAGCTTCCCAAGGATAGCACATCCACCAAGGCCAAGGGGAAGGCCCAGAAGGGCACTGATGATGCCACCAAAAAGATGCAAGGTCTTCAGGTTTAAGGAGATATCCCACGATGTACCTTGAGATACAAATTACGAATTAGAACGGTTTAGTTCATGATTTATAGGCATATGTACAAAAGAATAGTCGGCTGCTCACACGGCCTCTGTCCTTCACGACGTAGGACTTGGACAATCTGATCTATTTGGCTCCAGATATATTAGGGACGTTTTATTCAAGATAACACTCATGCTGCATGCGGGCTCGGTCGAAAGGAGTTTTCAAGACACGTCTGTGTCATTCTTCTCCTCCCTCCAGACGAGCAGACATTCCTGTAAACAGTAGCAGCAGGGAATCCATCACCAAACAGGGTAACCTTGGCCACTTTCTCCTGCCAATTGAGAGTTGAGCGTACTGCAAGAAATTATTTCACGTGTGGATGACGGCGAATATCAGATACTCGGTCTGCATTGGCACTGGAGTGTTTCAATCTGCCCACGCCAGACCCTGTAATCACCCCCATTGTAAAGGAATCACACCAGGGTTGGAAGGTGAAGGTGGAGCAATGTCTCGGCAGCGAGTAGAGGCAGATCGGCAGAGCAAGAGAAAGGGTGCGAAAAATATAACATGTAATCACTGCTGAGAGTGTGTCAGCAACAGACTCATGTATCAACCGGTTCCATGCTTACAGCAACCCTTGAAATCCAACACTTTGCTTTTCCTGAAAAAGTTCTCGGTGTAGAACAGGAGATTTCAAAAAGGCCCAGAAAAGATAGGTGATTTAAGCTTGCGTTGGCTTCACCAGACGGCTACTAGTCAACAGCACCACGTAGAGGTCCAAGCTCGTAGCTGTTGGATCTTCCAGGACAGGCGTCCCGGAAGACCCCGGCCAAGGGACGGCCGGAAAGACTCGTCAATTCATCAAGAACAGGCCGGCCAAAGCCGTTCTGTGATAGACAGAGCAACCGAAACATAATCGGATTAGGCCATTCTACTAGGAATAGGCTGAGCCGAAGCCATTCCTTCAAAAATAGGCCAAGTTCGTCAACTCATCAGGGACAGGCCAAGCCGAAGCCAGCCGTTCCTGCAAGAATGGACAAAGCAAGAAACACGCGCAGTAAAATCAAGCAAGCCATTCTATCAAGAATAGGCCAAGCCGAAGCCAGCCGTTCCTGTAAGAAGTGACGAAGCAGCCGAGACAACCCCAAGTCGCAGGTCTTTCTCTTAAGAATAGGCCGAGCCGAAGCCAGCCATTCCTTCAAGAATAGGCCAAGTTCGTCAACTCATCAGGGACAGGCCAAGCCGAAGCCAGCCGTTCCTGTAAGAAGAGACGAATCTCGTTCAATGAAGTTTCCCGTCCCGAAGGCGCTCCTCAGCCTTGGCAGCTCGCCGGTTTGCACCTCGCAGCTCCACCGCCAATTGTTCAGCGCGCCAATTGGCTTCTCTGGCTGCGACCTCAGCAATCTGAGTCCGTAGCTGAAGCTCTGGGGTTTGGGTTTTGGCCTCAATGCACTTGGTGCACTTGGCATCCTTCCTATAGTGACTATTAGTATTTGTCTAGTATCAATAGTTCTGATCAATATTCTCATAACTGCTCTCAGTGTAGGGGAAGGGGAGATGGATCTTACTCTGCTTGTATCTGTTGGAGCCTCTGCTTATGTCTCACCCAACCAAGCATAATCTGTCCCATGAGGTACGGGATGAAAAGGATTACAACAAGACGAATGGTCTTCTGTAGATCCTGAGCATCCTTAACCCATGAACTGGTCTCCGAAGTGTTGCTGCTGTAGCATTCGCTAGACATTTCGAGTGACTGGTAATTCGAAATGTAAAAGGTGGGGAAAAGTAAAGAAGAGAGAAGAGAGAAGAGAAGAGAAAGAGGGAAAAGAGGGAAAAGAGGGAAGAGGAGAAATTTCAACTTTCACGGGACTGGTGCCTTCCCTTTTGATCAAAAGTAAACAAAACCCTCTATGGTTCCTTCCAATTGAATACACGACCAACCTTCTACGGCAAATTTGCATACTTTGGGATTTTTAGTAGTTACATCAAAAGTTACAAATCATAGCACTGAATCGTACCATACATTGTCGTATTGCACTAGAGATCGTGGATAGTGCAAACGTTCAACCCCCAAGGTTGAAAACCTGAGAATTCCCCAGTCACCTACACGCTTCTTTGCCTCGATAGCTCGCCGCTGAAACTCTTCGGCTCGCTGGCCTGCACCTCTCAAATCCAGTGCAAGTCTTTCAGCGCGAGAATTGGCAGCTCGCGCCGCGACTTCGGCGATCTCGGACTGTATCGCATGATCGCGGGATTGGGCTTCGGCAGTCTGAGCATGTTGCTCAGCTTCTGTGCATTTGGCGCATTTGGCGTCCTTCCTATAGTGGCTATTCGCATTCATGTAGTATCATTCTAAGCAAAATCCTTTTGTCTGCTCTCAATGTATGGGGAAGGATATCGATTAATCGTACTCTGCCTGTATCTCTTTAAGCTTCTGTTTGTCGCTCACTGGCCAAACAGAAGCTATCTGACAAGGTATACGATATAAACGATTGCAAATAGACCGGTGGTCATCCGCTGATCTTGGATTTCGGAACCCATCAATTGGGTTTTGTAGGAAATCCTAGTACATGGTCAACTCCAGTGCTTGTTGAAAGCTTTTTGTAACGCGGTAATGTGAATTGGGGACTCAGTTGCATGGGTTTCCGCATCCGGAGGTATTCAAAACAGAACAAAGCGGTACTTACACAATGGGCCGGCAATGTTTCTTCTGGCGATCAATTTGCCAGGGGGAGCGATGATGGTTAAAGGGAAAAAAGAAAGGAGAATTCACGAGGAGCAAAGAGCCTTTTATATCTGATCCGGTTTAAAATGTTTTTCATGTCCTTCTACTTCTACTGAGTAGCTGAAACACTAAACCCGGGGACAGACATAACAGAACATCCAAAAAAGTCATTCGAACCCGCGGCCGCAACACCTATCAGTGGCGAGGATAATCGAGACGTCCTCACTGACCATGCCCCATCGGAGCACACCTCTGACACTTCTCACCACACTGATGATCAGCGAGCACATGAACAAGTCGTTGGAAACACGGAAAACAATCACGGCTAGGCTAGCGTCGACGAACAGGTCAATAACGACCGGCAGGCCAATGTCGATCGACGGGCTGACGACCAGCAGACCGTCGAATAATGAGGGCACGGACCGAGGAATGAATGATAACGGCACAAAACGGAAAATGAATATCCTATTTTTATTTTTATACATGGGTGTCAACGGGGACGTTGACGATCCTTTTGTGCGGACATTATTAGGGGATCGTCACCTGAAATCCCCCTCGCCGCTTTATGTAATTATCTGCCACCAAATAGGAATGACATCCTTTTTCCATCTCCCATGACAAAAGCCGCCGATTGATGGATTAGGGCTATCTTGATCACCTGACGCCTTCCAGGAAAGGATATACTACCTTCCAGCTTATGGACTCTGCAGAGAAGACGAAGTAAAAGCAAGACCATGAATTAAGCTGAGCTGCTGACTGCGTGTAAGAGAGAGCAAGGAATAAAACCCAATTCAGCTGAGAAGCAAAATTCCTATCTGCCTAAGGCATAGGTAACGCTTGGCCGGAGCAAATGGCTTACAGCTACTGATTTCATGTCTACACCGTTCACTGTCTACATATGGCTACAGAAGAATTAGGATCGGATATGCCTAATGCACAATGCTCACACAAACAAAATTATCATTATTTGCCTAATATAAAAAAAAGGAAAAAGAAAGAACGGCCAGAGACAGAAAAAGTTCCTTCACTAGTATATGACGTTAGCATTCTAGTTCAAGGAGAAACTAGAGAGGGGGAGGCTTACGGAGTCAAATGTGGGAGGGGAGTAGGAGGGGGAGTAGGGGGGAGAGGAGGGGGCGGGCGAGGCAGGTTGGTCGGTAGGGCAACCCGGTAGTGGCTCGGCCACTGCCTGCTCGGTGGCACCCTGGAGAGCACCCTGGCCGCCCCCACGGTCAGGGCCACCAAGGTCACCAGCAGCAGCAGTGGCCGAGCCACTACCGGGGGCGGCAGCATCAGCTGCACGACGCTCAGTTGCGGCAGCGGCCTGTTGGCAAAACACGTTAGAAACAATATTCAGCCACAGTGCAATTCCGAGAGAAGACTGGTGCTCATAGAGGGACGACAACAGGCGATTTCTTACCTTGTCCAAAGCAGAATGGGCGATTGCCCACAACCTGCTTACCTCCTCAGTAGAAGGAGGAGGCGCATTTGCGGCGGCCTCAGCGACCTGGTTCAGATGTTAGTAATGCTCAGTCAAATCCAGGGCTTGATGGTTCTCTTACCCGCCAGGCTCGTCTCTTCTTATTCTTGCGGTTTTTCTTCTGGCTCTTTGTGAGGGGAGCCATGATTTTTTTTTTTTTTTTTTTTTTGGTGACTTGGAAGGGGAAAAAAAGGGAGAAGATTTCACCGAGGGAGCCTTTTGACTACATGGGTAACTGTATCCTACGAGGAAGGTACACCTATCTAGGAAGGCGCCTACCTAGCTATGTAGCCATATGACATCTCTTCCATGAACAGCTCAATACTGCTCAATGATACACAATTCTTCATCTCATCTATAACCAATTTATCATAGATTAGCTCCTTTATTCATTCACTTTCGACTTAGTCTTCTTTCAGATCTCAAGCATCATTCATTTTGGAGTGAGGAACTATTGCCGTACATATATTGACTCCTATGTTCACTCACTTTTAGCTTTCACTTCAATTCAGATCTCAAGCATTGGCATACAATACTACAACTCGTAAACAAGCCAAATACATCACAGGAGTTCACAGATTTCGATCAATCGTAGGACTTAGCTAGCTCCAATCCAAAAGCAATCTTCAACATTTAGCACTCAAATCACTTTGATACTCGTTTGAACTGCCAAAGGGATTCCTTCTTCCAATACCACGCAAGTGATCTCGCCATTGACATCTTTCCAAGCCCAAAGATCCCCGGTTTAGAGAAATAGGCCTCCGTCATTGCCAAAAGATAAGAAGGATTTTCGCTCAGGAGTCTATCCAGTAGATTGTCCACCACCAAACTCCAGCCCTCGTCGGTTACTGAATGACCACGATTGACTTCACAGCACCAACAACCCACCGTACAGTGCCCAATACCCCTCTCCTTACTAGTTAGACAACGCTTTTCGCAACAGCCACAGGTCCGACCACAGCAGCCACCCCTCGCCGTACAATCATTGATAAGCTCCTTTCGGAGATACCAAGAAGGATTCTGTCGGATCTTATCATATATCTTTTTCAACGGCCTTTGGGGAAGCTGAACCTCCGCATTGTGTAAGCCTGCTGCTATCTCCGGAATCATCACTTTGTAGCGCTTGAGATATTCCTCACACTCGTGGCGCCTCTTTGTGTCATCCTCGGTGGACTTGTTTAGTGCTCTGAGTTTGATTTCATTCCGTTCTTTCTGTTGTTTAATTGCCCGTAAAAAATGTTCGAATCTGATGATCGCCACAAAGATTTCCGAAGGTATTTGAAGACCCCTACCGTACTCAAAGAGCCTCCTATCTTCCCGTTGATAATCCCGAACGGGCTTGAAGTTTCTAAAGGAATCAAACATCTGTGACGGATCTACTCCCAGCAACGGATATCCAGTATGAAACTATAGTCGGGCAACATGTTCTAAGCCATATTAGTATAATTTGCACGCAGATCAGGTCACAGCATGTGAATAGTGAAAGATACTTACGAAAATTAGACTCGAGTAGTTGCAGAGTAGTTGTGAGTTGTAACGAAAGTTGGATTATAAACTGGCGAGCTTAGGGGGAAGTCAGTTAATATTACCTTCCTAGGCCGCCGCCAGAAAGGGCTCTTGAGTTTTATCTCACCCTTGGAAGTATTAAATCTGAATACTTCCAAGGTTGTTAGGTTTTTACATCATCGCCTTGCTATATGCCGACGTATGTAGGTATGACCTAGTTAGGGCTGGACAGAGCATGTTGATTATGTAATTATGGATGCCCAAAGATGCAAGGTCTTCAGATTTAGAGGTGTCCTGCAATTTATCTTATATAAATTGTATTACAATTAGTTTATGATCCTACTACATATATACATGTACACTATATAGTCCACCACGTAGCACGCAATACTAAAACAACTGCCCATTTTGCCTAAAACAGATAAACTCAGTCGATAAACATGTATTCTGCGTCTGATTGGTCAGAACTTGCAACTTTTTTTTAAAAAAAAAGTTAAAAAAAAAAAAATCCTTTGCCCCGCGGTACCCCTCCAAAAGAATACATTGACTACATATGTAGAGTACTATATCTCAACATTTATTTGACAAGTCTAAGTAAATAGGATCAATTAATGACAATAATACCTAAATTTACATACTATGTACAATGTAGTATATGTACTTAGTTGTTGCAAATCCCGAAACCAAAATCACCGAGTCCGATTCCGGAGCCCTGGAGACCTTGCGGGCTTACTTAATTTCCATTAAGAGTCATCCAGGTGGACCACCTGAGCACTCATCCACATCTTCCCTGACTGTTTCTCTTCAATCTATTTCAATCCCTCTACACACCTCAATCATGTCAACCGCAAGAGATATCCGTCCTCGCCAGGACGACACCGCTTTCCTCGCTACCTCCCCCAGCGCCTCCTTCAACTCCCCATCCAGCCACAGCTCGGTTCTGAACCGTACGATTCCAGTCAATGCTAAGCCCTTGAAGCCATTCGCCACAGAAGATATCAAGGTCCTGCTCCTGGAGAATGTCAACCAGACCGGCCGTGAAATCCTTTCCCAGCAAGGCTACCAGGTCGAATTCCTGAAGTCTTCCCTCTCAGAAGATCAGCTCATTGAGAAGATTCGGTGGGTCCCAATCCAATTCCCTCTCGGTGACTCACGAAGCTAATGGATTGTATTTTATTCCAGTGATGTCCACGTCATCGGTATTCGCTCCAAGACTAAGCTCACCGCACGAGTCTTGAAGGAAGCAAAGAACCTTATCGTCATCGGTTGCTTCTGTATCGGTACCAACCAAGTCGACCTCCAATATGCCGCTGATCAGGGTATTGCCGTCTTCAACTCCCCCTTCAGCAACTCTCGCAGTGTTGCCGAGTTGGTCATTGGTGAGATGGTCATGCTGGCCCGCCAATTGGGCGATCGCTCCAACGAGATGCACGCCGGTACCTGGAACAAAGTGAGCAATGGTTGCTGGGAGATTCGTGGAAAGACCATCGGTAGGTGATGTTTTACAATTGTTCTGTTATTTCCGAGGTTTGTGCTGACCTCTCAGGTATCATTGGATACGGCCACATTGGTGCCCAGCTGTCCGTATTGGCTGAGGCAATGGGAATGTCCGTCATCTACTACGACGTCCTCAACATAATGTCACTGGGTACCGCTCGCCAGGTCAAGACCTTGGATGATCTTTTGGCCGAGGCCGATTTCATTACCTGCCACGTTCCCGAGATTGCCGAGACCAAGGGCATGATCGGACAGAAGCAGTTCGAGAAGATGAAGAAGGGAAGCTACCTGATCAACGCCAGCCGAGGAACCGTTGTGGATATCCCCGCACTTATCGATGCCATGCGCAGCGGTAAGGTTGCTGGTGCCGCTTTGGATGTGTACCCCAATGAGCCCGCCGGAAACGGTGACTACTTCAACAACGATCTCAACACCTTCGCCGCTGATCTGCGCTCGCTCAAGAACCTTATCATCACCCCTCATATCGGTGGAAGTACCGAAGAGGCTCAGAAGGCTATTGGTGTCGAAGTTGCCCAGGCTCTGGTCCGATATGCTAACGAGGGTTCTACCCTGGGTGCTGTCAACTTGCCCGAGGTTGTCCTCCGTTCTTTGACAATGGATGAGTCTGACCATGCTCGTGTAAGTTCTCTCTGCAGTCGTTTGAGCTTGCGATGATACTGATTTTGCCTAGGTGATCTACATCCACAAGAACATTCCTGGAGTGTTGCGAAAAGGTAAGAATACATACGATCTAACCGAAGGGATCTTTTAACTGACAATGACACAGTCAACGAGATTATTGGTGACCACAACGTCGACAAGCAGATGACCGATAGCAGAGGCGATGTAAGTTGATCCGTGCTTCTTATACAAGAGAGCGACAGCAGAAACTAACTGTGAATAGGTTGCCTACCTGATGGCCGATATCAGCAATGTGGACGCTGCCACCATCAAGGATTTGTATACCAGACTCGAGAGCCTTCCTTGTAAGATCATATCCTTTCTCTCTCGCATGAACTCCAAACTAACAACGTTCCCAGCTCGCATCATGACCCGCGTGTTGTACTAAACAACCGATCAAAAAAAAAAAAAAAAAACAAGCTAGCCTACGGGCTATGATGCTTTAATCAACTTAGAATAGATGAGCCCTTGCACGGCTTAATCTCAATTGCAACAGGACACTCTCAACGAGGTCCTAGGATATTACAAGATTGCAATTGCCAACTCACGAGTATATTGAGTTGGATACGACTGATGTAAAAGCGGTTGAGTGTATATTTTGTGAATACCATGCACCATTTACTAGGGAAAAGCTATGACATGAATATTTTCGTTTTCATTTCCATTTTCATCTGCCTGTCATCCACACAGATTGACTGGCTAAGTAGAATGCATTAAGTGAGAATATCGCTAGACATCATGATCCTAACCTCGACCTCGACTCCCGTCTCTGAAGCCAGGACTGCGACTTCTCCTTCTTGATGGAGGATCCCGGCGGTAATCACGTCGACTTGTCGAGCGCCAATCGGCACTTGAATGCGAGCCATGCTCGCCAGAGTCTCGCGAGCGATCGTTGCCGCGGTCACTGCCGCGGTCATTGCTGCTGTAGTTCGGAACGTAAGAGTCCAAATTCCCTGATCTGGGTGCTGGACGACCTTGTCCGAATTGATTTCGACGATCATCTCTCCCGTCAGTTCTGTTGGATTGCGATCCATCCCATGGCGGGTTGGTTGAGACGGGTGGACGCGGGGGTAATCCCGTATCTCTTTGTGTAGATGGGAAGGGCCCGCGGCGTTGCGGGTTCCCGTGAATTGCGTGGTGTCCATGGCCGCCGTACGTTCCTGGTGCATTTGGTCTGCCTCCTCGGGCGGTGCCGGGGACGCGGCTGTGTCGGGAGTCTGGTCCGCGAGAACCAGAGGTTGGCCAGCCGCCATTGCTTGTGTCGGAGGCGGGTGGGGGAACTGGGGGCATTGGGACCCGCTGGCTGCGGAACTTCTTTCGGTCGAGTTCGTGGGAATCTGCGAATTGGGGGATTTCGCCGGGTCGTGCTGGGAGGGGGTGGGTGGTGAAGTATGGATGCTTCAATGCATCCATGGCGTTGATGCGTTTCCTCCAGTCTAGTCGGAGGAGCTCGCTTAATAGAGAAATAGCTGCCGGGTTTAGGCTGTTGCATGGTTAGTTAGGGGTCCAAGTCTGCTTGGGCGGGGGAGAAGTGCCATACTCCTTGAAGAATGCATGGAGATTCCCGCGTTTGAAGGCGAAGTTTTTCACGCCCTCACAACCCGGGAGTTGGCTCCATCCCGGCATATTCTCCTCAGTGGGAGTGCCCACAAGATTGAATATCAGTTCGGCTTGGTTAAGGTCGCTATTTCCAGCGAGGATGGGCTTGCCCTTGAACATCTCGCCAAATACACAGCTATAAGACATTAGAAGATGATAACCCTGACTAACAGGGAGGGAAAACTCACCCAACTCCCCACAAGTCGATGGCCGTAGTGTATTTCCGCAGCTGTAGCAACAACTCTGGAGGACGGTACCATCTCGTGACAACAAGTGCAGTGTATTCTCTTCTAGATTCTCCTCCTCCTTTTCCGGGGAGTGGAGGGGCATCATCGTAAGGCCGGGCAAGACCAAAATCAGCGATTTGGAGAATTCCTCCATTGCTAATTAGCAGGTTCGCCGCTATTCATTCTGTCAGTTAAGAACTCTGGTATACCAGCCTTCACTACTCACCTTTCATATCACGATGTAGGATCCGGTTCTGCGAATGTTGTTAGACAAATACTGCAGGGATGGGTGTTTCAAGACGATCGTACTGCATGCATGAACTTGAGCCCTTCGAGGAGTTGCATCAAGTAGCATTTAATCTGTGGTTCCGTGAATTGAACTGCCGGGTTTTCTAGTAGTCCTGACAAGTCATGCTCCATGTATGGAAAGACCATGTACATGCTCGGCTTTTTCCGTCCTTCGCCTTTGCCTCGCTCAATTGACATCTCCTTGAGCTGTAGAATGTTTGGGTGGGAGAGCGCTTTCATGAGTTTGATCTCTCGGATGGCGGTAATGGGGAACTAGCATAGTACCAAAGGTCAGTTTATGGCAAACAAACAATAGAGAGTCAGTGGACTTACGCCTTCTTTCTCGTGGTGCATTAGGATCTTTTTTAAGGCCACAATTTTGGTGTCCTTCTTAGACCTTGCTTTGTAGACCTCGCTATCAACCAATTAGTTGGTTTCTGTTGGCGATACCGCTGCCGGACTCACCCAAAGGTTCCTTCTCCAAGCTTGTCGAGGAATTCATATTCACGAATGTTTGAACAACCAGGGAAACGGGCCTGGCCATTGTCATCCTTTTCCAGGGATTTGATCTCCATACTGACCCGTCGCTTGCGCTGGTTGCTCGCGCTGGTGAAGGATGAAGTTCGATTGTGCTATCCGGTGATTAGGTCGAAATGTCGACCGCTGTCAAGCTGTTCGGTATGCTTTGGTTTGATGTTGGGTCAACATACACGGAGGGTTCGAGAAGTCTTCGGAGACAGAGGGTTGTGGTGAATTTTTTTAAGGTGAATTTTTTTAAGGTGAATTAGCTGGGATCTTCTCGGGGGGAGCCAAGCGCGTCGAATGTGTTAGAAGGCAAGTCCATATCACAGGTAAAAGTATGTGCGACGATTTCGCATTGTTCAAAGCCCTCGTGTACGGAGCTCGGGCATGCAACAAACTCAATAAAGACCTGAGTAGGAGCCAGCCCAGTCAAGGCACAAGTGAAATAAAAGTCGGACGACTCTCCAAAAAGAACTCGAATGATTGTTCTGCTGATTGCCCTGCCGAACGATCCAAACACTGCGCTGCGGTGGAATTCGAGTGCCGTCACGGGTCACGTGCAGTCAACCTCTCGCCGTTGAACCGCAGAGCCCTCCGTCTTCAGATCCGATTCGAGATTGGCGTTTTACCAACAACAGTCATTTTCAGCACACAGTACGTCTTACACGCACCTTTCTCTACCCATATGAATTCCGTGGAAACTAATTGCTTTTCAATCTGTACAGTCATGGCGGGCAACTCCTCCCACCCTATCCACATCCACCCGGTCCGACCGCTCTACCGCTTCACTGCGACTGCATTGGGCGCTAGCATGTGGTTCTTCGTAAGGATTGCCTCATTTTGATACCAAGAACTTGTACTGACAGGACTCTTCTGGGTAGCTCATGTACCGGGCCAAGAAGGATGGTGCCGCTCTGTTGGGCTGGAAGCACCCTTGGGACCACTGATCCGATTACAATCGTCGATTTCGTTTTCTTGCGCAACCGCTTTGTCTCTTAGGGCAGCGGTGATGGTTGGGCCGCATTGCGTACTACATACTTGGAGTGAGAAGAGAGGGGACAGAGAGCCGGGTGTTGCCGAGCGCATGTCAAAGCCACAAGTGTCAGGTTCACGATAGCCATTTACCAGCCGAATTGTATCATACCCTTTCTTTTTCAATTCTCTAAAATAGTAATTCTTTGGCCCGAGTGGCCGAGGCGGAACCTCACTAGACGAATGACTGGGTCATAATATCCAAAAACTATGGCAATCTACAGGTCTATGTGTATTCTATAACGTACAATCTGAGTGCTGTGATAGCGTACTTCACAGGCGCAGTGCCTCCAATAGCACTTTGTACATCTTGCGCTTCTTGCGGTAGTGTGGCTGCAAGCGGGCACGAGCATGTCCAAGCATTTGTGCCACGCCTGGGAATATGTTCTTCTCTGCTATCCAGGACAGAACGAAGACCCCAAATGCCAGTGCGATTAGCCAGAGTTTGAAAGCATCAGACATGAAAGTCAGTTGCATCACCTCTGACACCCAGTTGGATGGTCTGAAGAGCATGTAGCCCGAGATCAGGATATTGACGATGATCGTACATAAGTACGGCACTAAACAGCCACAGTCAGTATCTAGATGAGTAAGAAAGCGAAGTGGGTGGCGCGATTCTTACCATTTTGGGTCATTGGTTTCCGGAATGGCGGACCCGCGCTCAGAACAATGCTGATGAATATGTACTGGAAACATGAGAACAAGAACAAAGCCGTATTCTCCGAGTTGACAATATTGCTCTTTTCCAGGTCCAGTTGTGGCGGCAAGAACCTGCATCGTTGTTAGAATGATGTTGATAGTATATTATGACGGTTACTCACCACGGCTGTAATTGAACAATCTCAAAGACTGCAAACTGTGACAGCACAACTAGCAGGATCTGCCCGAGCAAAGGCGTCAATACCTTGCGTGAGACAAGATCAGCAGTTGGCCGTTTCCGAGACAGTGTAGGAGAAGGATCAGCCCAGCCCACTAGAAGAAAGTTAGCTCGGTGGCTCAAGTTTTGTGAAGATAGACCACGCACTGAAGACCGCAATGGGCATAATGAGCACAAGATCGATAAAAAGGAACTTGAAATCGTTAGCGATCCATCAAACCTTTACTGATATAGCCCACTTACCTGGAAATCACCAAGATTTGACCCCGACGTATACAGGAAGCTGACCGAGCAGAACTGAATGGCGGAATAAAGACTCATGAACTTGAAACAGGAGAAGCTTGTCACCAGAGCAGCTCGTCCCTCCCTAATCACCGTCGGAACACAGGAGATTTCGAACAAGCGGCTAGTAAAGGGTGCAGCAACGGAAGCCTCGGCGTCCGACAATGAGATACCAACATCTGCAGCCTTCAGAGCACCACAATCATTGGCACCATCGCCGCAAAAGCCACAGCAGTAATCAATAGACTGAAGTTTCTCAACCAGTTCGTGCTTCTCATCCGGGGACATACGGGCAAACACTTTGCCGCATACAAGTACCTATACAGCGTACATTAGTTTGTGGCATGGTAAAAATGGAAATAGTTAGTGCAACGGCCGCTTACCTTGTTGAGTACATCTTCATTCCCGAAGTCAATCAACCACCTAAACGCATCACCAGTCACGGCGAGAGAGTATTCACGCTCGACGAGAGTGTTTCCTGGAATTGACAAGTCGGTCTCCGCAGTGTTTATGGGCTGTAATTGCATTAGCTGCTAGTATTTGGATATAGGGAAAGGATATCTTACCAAAAGTGTTCTCGGGTCCAACTGGAGGTCGGCATTGTCCACACATTCCCATATGAGAGAAGGTTTGGATGAAAGGCCAGGCGCTGTGTATCGTTAGTCCTGAATTATGGCCTGGGTGCAGTAGACGAACCTTCAATGAAGTGCGGAATAAAACATGGCTCATCGCGTCCAAGCATGTTACATTCACGAGCAACACTAATGGCAGTCAAGATATTATCACCGGTGCACATTACATTGCGAATCCCCGCCTCGTTCAACTCGGAAATCACACCGGCAGTACTGGGTTTCAACTTATTCTCGAAGATGATGAAGCCCAGGAATTCCAGGTTAGATTCGGCGTCCGCCCGCGACATTTTTTGGACTTTCATCCAGCTTAACTTTCGTTCGTATTTGGAAGCGCAGGCAATCACACGGTATCCTTTGTGGGTGTAGTAATTCAGGAGATCTTCATAATCCGAAGGAACTGCAAAAAGATTGTATCAGCAACGCAGGCTTATGTAGAAAAAGAGAGAGAGCACTGACGTGTTCCAGGAATACATATGTCTTTAATGCTTTCTGGGGCACCCTTGACAAATAAACTTGCTCCATTGTCGCCAAACTTCCTGACGACGACACTTGCACGACGAAGATTGGAGACAAATTCGAAACTCCGCAGTACTCCAAGCTCGAGGGATTTCTAGATATTGTTAGATGTGAAGCTGTGGCTTGAATAAACCCAACTTACAGTTACATCTTGCTCGTCGCTGGTCTGGCATTGAGGGGGCTTTGCAACCGACGGTGCTATTGTGTCGTATTTGGGGCTTGTCTGATCGGAAACATGATGTCCTCCCTCCTCGAAAGTCCAGTTGGTAAATTGGAACATCTTCACATCGAGAGGATCTCCCAACAGCTCGTCGTCCACTACCCTGAGGGAATGACACGTTGCCATGGCGTACATGATCTTACTTTGCTTTTCGATGTCGTATGCGGAGTTAGAATTTGGGGAAGGACGAAGAAACCCGTCAGACGTCTCAGACAGCAACTCTGAAAACCTAGAAACTCTTCTTCAGCGCCAGGTTAAGGATCATACTTCGAAACAGACAAACCTTTTGTCACGGGTAACTATACGCGCTCCTAGCACATCCAACCCATCTTCTGTGAGGGTTCCAGTTTTATCGAAACAAACAATGTCCAGCTTTCCTCCCACATTGACCCTGGTCTCATGTATTAGTATCAAAGTTAAGACATCATTCAGTTTCATTTACTCACTTCTGTGGGCTGATACAAAATATGTTCTGTTTTTTCAGCCGTGAAAGCGCAAAATTGGTTCCAATGGTTAGTGTGGCTGGGAGAGCTGGCGGGACAACAATCGTGATCAAATCGAGGGCTCGAATTATGATCAAATGCCAAGCGAGCTGTGTTTCGTTTGGTCAGCTGCCAGAATAACCTTGGGGAATCGTCTGTTGGACTATTGACTTACACCCAATCGAACAAAGTTAATGAATGAAGCGATGAATCCGAGAAGAGCCACCATCCCCATCACGGCAATGTAACGGAACGAGTCCCGGTAGAATTTGAATCCAGAAGGTTTTGGGAAAAGCATTGATCGAACTAGAGCCCCCTTGGTTGTCAAGAAGCCAGTTCTCATGACAATTGCCAATGCTACTGCTTCATCGTCGTCAACATTCTGGGGCCGTCTAGCCCGGATCACTTTGGTTCCGCTGAAAAGGAAGTGTTTAGCAACATGAGGGTGGATAGAAGGGGTACTGAGATCGAGATATTTGATGGCGTCATCGGTGAGTGGTATTTTAGACACGGGGACGGATTCACCTATTAGAGTTAGATGTATATAAAAATATCAAAGTTTTGGGTTTTGTACGAACCAGTGAGCATGCTCTCATTCACAATGCAGTCCCCTGACAGCAAGATGCAGTCACACGGGACCTGGTTAAGGGATGGGTCGGAAAATTCATACACATCACCAGGAACCAGCTCTTGGGAGGAGACGGAACGCCCTGTAGATACGATTAATTTACATCAATCAGTAAGATGATACATTGGATGAACTCACAGAATCCATTTCTTAGAACGCGAACATCACATTCGAAGAGAGATATCTCCCTAAGCCGACTCATAGTCTGTCGAGCGTTAGTTTCGGGAGACTGATCATTTCTTCGGCTGAACTCACTGATTTCGTCTCTAGCACAGTCGTTGCTATGCTGAAAAACGATATAAGAAAGATACAGACGGCATAGTAGTAGTACTCATCCATGGACCACAAAACGAGACTTGCAATTTGGAAGATATAAAAGGGATGGAAGGCCTATACACTGTCAGATATATTGATGAAACAACCGGGGGGAAAACTGACCTCGTCGACGAGAAGCTGAGGAATTGTCTTTTGCAGAATTTCGATGGTGTTACTTCCAAATATCTGTTCCCTGCTGTCTCGTTCGTCGGCATCCAATCCACTTCGCATGATCTTGGCATTAGTCCACGATGGATCTTTCCAGCCATTTACCAAAGAAAATTTATCCTCAATTGGATGATAGAAAAACTTCAGGTATCTATAGTCGATGAAGTGTAAAGAGGCAATAGTAGGGTCGCTATCTTCATCGTATGGGTAACTTGGTGAGTCGGCGAAGACCGTGGAAAGCGGACGCCCATAAGGTTGGCTGCCAACTCCATGTATGCTGAATTGGTTCCATTGGTCCTATCATGGGTTAGACGGTTATTGTATGGGACAAAAAGTTCACGATCTCACCTCGATAGCCACCCATTGACATTTGCCTATCGGGGTTGCCTTCCCAATCAACTTTACCCGCCATCGTGGCAGCCATCGGAAGAGAAGCCAGGCAAATCCACCGGTCAAGATGCAAAGGCCGATATAGACAGCAAACCCTCCCGAACTCGTGGAAAAGCCAGCAAAAACAGCCGTCAAATCCTCCGACGCGATATACACCTTTTGATTCAACCGACTAGCGGTTCGTCGGTCTCGGCCAAACGAGCTGGCGGACATGTAGCGAGAGAGAAGTGGATGTTCAACCGAGTCGCGGGAGGTAGACATCCGCTTAGACACAAAAGAGCTTCTGGCTGACTCTAGATCTGCATCCTCGATTCCATGTAGAGATTCTTCCTCAATCTCGCTTTGATCATCCACCGCATCTTCGTTCGACCATTCTGCGAAGTCTTCCCCGTCCTGAAAGTATGTAAAGCTCACCGTAGAGCCTGCCCGATCACGGCGGTGCGCGAACGAGACGACG